TGCAAATTAAATATTTTAATTAAAGAAATTGTATAAACTCTAAAATGATTTAAAATAAACGAACGCGTTATAGCTCTAAGTAAGATTCAACATTTAGTTCAGTATATTTTTTGCTTTGAGACATTTATATTTCGTGAATTATATGAGATTTTATGAATGTCTAACTTTAGAACGGATTCAAATCTGAAAGTTAAAAACTAAGTTCAAAAACAGAACAAAAAAAAAAAAAATTATTTTGCGTGTTATAATAATATTAAATTAAAAATATCGAAGATAACTAGTAGCAACTGAAAAAAACAAACAAACTTGGATTGACGATGAAATTGCGCAATAACGCACGTTAAAAAGGCTGATTAAAATGTTCGATTCGGAAATCGTAAGTTATAATACCGGATTAAACATATCAAGATCTTAGAAAAGCGTAGTAATAACTGCTGAAAGAACAACAAAATAAAATAAGACTCTTAGATTTGTGATGAAATCAACACAAATAAATTGCACATTTAAATGCGTGATTCGTTGTTGTTGTTCATTTACGTCGCACTAGAGCTGCACAATGGGCTATTGGCGACGGTCTGGGAAACATCCCTGAGGATGATCCGAAGACATGCCATCACAATTTTGATCCTCTGCAGAGGGGATGGCACCCCCGCTTCGGTAGCCCGACGACCTGCACGCGAAGTCGAGCACTTTAGTCGAGAACAGTTTAACGAGGACTAATACCGCAGCCAGTGATACTTGACTTCGGTGATCTGCTGGGAACCGTGTCTTAACGATCAGTCCACTGCGGGACAAATGCGCGATTCGAGTGCTGTAGTAATGAAAGAATAAAACTAACGGGATTTACAAAATCATGCGGAAACGTGTAGCAATAAGCGCTGAAAAAACAGTAGGAAAAAATACTTGGAAAAACGAGAATAAGTCAAAACTTAGTTAAGATATATGTACTTGGAGAAATAGTATCCAGAGAAAGAGAGTATTTAGAAAATAGTATTGACACAAATAAAGCACATCAGAAGTGATTATTCATTTCGAAGCTCGTATAAATGCATGCATTAAATAGGTCGAGACTTAAGCATATAAACTGGACACACATAAAGAGCTTCATAGGTGATTACTGAAATTCCAGAATCATCATTTTGTCGAATTAAAAAAAAATTTGAATTTTGGTAAATCAAAGCAATAAAGAACCGGAAAAACGACCGAGAAAACACCTTGATTCAGATTTGGCGCGTCAAAAACTTAAATGCGCAATAAAAAAATTTTTTTTAGCCCCCTTCGCACCGCCTGTGTGTTATTTATGCCACTGGAGACTGGCTAAATACATTGCTTATTTCACCTTTTCAGTACGTCATATCTTGAGGACGTTTTAAGAGAATGGAAAACTTTGCACACACACCTATAAAATTCGTCTATTCAAAGATAAGCCTACGTAAAAAAAATATTTCAGATTTTGGCTACCCCTATATATTGAGGATCAAAAATCCAAATCCATTGAAAAAAAAAAAACATGTTTATTCGAAGATTATCTGATCTAAAATATTTGTGTAGCTTAAATAGTGTTCACTCATTAACTTATTTGACATAGGCTCTTTGAACTATTAAGATCGAGTCCCAGTACGTGAAAATCTGATCATTAGATCTAAAGTTATTCAAGGTGTACATGTACACTTGTTTATTTTGTACACTAAACAGTTTTTAACTTGTGCTGCTATACCTTAGTTTTCAAAATCATTCTTTTCTATCCTTTACTGTCAATTTAATATATTGAAATTTTTAACTGTAATTCCTTGCGGGGGGCCATCCCCTCCTCAGAGGATCAAAATTGTGATGGCATGTCTTCGAATCATCCTCCGGGATGTTTCCCAGACCGTCGCCAATAGCCCATTGTGCAGCTCTAGTGCGACGTAAATTAAAAACAACAACTGTAATTCTTTAGTGACCTCTGTCGGATATCATGATCTCAGCCATTTATTGTACTCATGAAAGTGAAACACATGAACGCATATAGGGTTTTAATAAGACTTGAACGAATTTTAACTTTTTTACAGATTATTCATGTCGTCTAACTCGTATTATTCAGGGATGAGAGTAGTCAGAAAGTAAAAAAGAGGAAATCCAAGACTGAATGAATAATTATATATCTATATATACATATATAAATATCAGGGATCTGTCTAGACATTTTGTGAAAGGTCCGTTTTTGTAAAAAAAATTACTCGTAACTTGTGAATATAAAATAAACGTTAAGTCACATTCTTTCAACCAGGGTCCGCTTTTGTGAATTTGTGCAAATAGGGTCCGTTATTGCAAAAAACTTTTTCAAGGAATTTTTAAATTGTTAAGACATGCACAAGATTATGCTCAACAGTGTAAAATTATAATTAAAAAAAAAATTAAATTTTAAAAAATAAACAGCAATTGCAGCTACTAAATTAGCTATTGCAACACATAAATATTTGGTATTTAGCCTATACTGCTGAATATTAATTTCGGATGAATAAAGGAGGAAGGGTCTGCTGAAGACAAAATTTAGTTCGTTTACACCTGTCTTTCTCCCTCCCCCCCTTCCTGGGAAGGGTTTATTCGATTAACAAAACAATAATGAAGATAAACAAATTTGTGAAGGGTCCGATTAAAAGATAAATTATTTTGTGAAGGATCCGTTAACGGACTCAAATTTCCAAAAAATAAACAGATCCCCGTATACATAAATAAATATATATCAATAAATAAATATATATGTATATATAGATATCAATATATAATTATATATACACACACAAATTTGACAAAAAAAGAACTATTTTTAAACTTGTAAACCATGTGATTATAAATCCCGATCATTAATTTTAGAATTGTATGAATATGAATCACATGCATGATTTTAAATTGAGAGAATATGAATCCCGATATGAGGTTTTTAAATCACGTGAATATGAAACTCTATATCGAATTTAAAAAATGCGAAAATACAAATCATGATGCGTAATTTTTAGATCACGTAAATACGAATCACGATGCATAATTTAAAATTGCGCGAATACGAATCCCAATGTCTAATTTTTAAAGCACGTATAAATACGAAAATCAATGTTTGATATTACAATCGCAAAAACGAATCACGGCATTGGATTTTAAGATCGCGTGAATACGAATAACTACATAGGGTTTTAAAAGCGCTTAAATACAAATAGCGATATTGGATTTTTAAATCTCGTAAAAAAGAATCGCAATGTACGATATTTAAATCGCCTGAATAAGAATCGCAATGTACGATATTTAAATCGCCTGAATAAGAATCGCAATGTACGATATTTAAATCGCCTGAATAAGAATCGCAACGTTCAACTTTTAAATCAGGTAAATACGAAAATCAATGCTTGATAATAAAATCGCGATTTTAAAAATGCATAAATACAAAACGAGATATTGGATTTCTATATCTCGTAAATAAGAATCATAATGTACGATATTTAAATAGCGTAAATAAGAATCAAAATGCGAAACTTTGAAATCAGGTAAATACGAAAATCGATGATTAATATTAAAATCGCGTGAATAAGAATCGAGATATTTGCAGAGTCTAGATTTGGGACTGCTAAAAGGCTTGTTTGTATTGTTTAGACATAATAACTAAAAATTTACAAGATTAATTGAATGAGAAAATATTTTCACCGCAATTCCACCTCTATTTTTTCTTCTTCCTCACGCCTGAATTACGAAAATACGAGCTATCCGGGGGACGGATAAAAATACAGAAAATCTTATTTCCTGTGCGTAAAAGCGGAGAAAATAGCTAAAATAAGTAAAAATGCGGAAGGGATAGCAGCTAGTACGTAGTTTGAATTTTCTGTTTATCTTTGAAAACCGTAAATAAATATAATTACTTTATTTCAACGACTGAATTTTTTTAAAAAAGCGGGATATTTATAAAAAAAAACAACCCCGAAACGTTTAGAGAATCGGAGTTTTTGATAAAAAGGCTGAAATTCGAGAGATAAAAGCAAAGATCCGCTAAAAAGCGGAAAAATTTCATCCCTGTATAAAGGTCAACCAGTTTTATCCCAAGGAAATGATTTTTAGAGAAACTTCAAAGGGAGGAATGAAGACTTCAATACTTTCGCTCCGAGGAAAGCTAAATTCCTCATAAAATATTTTAACTAGTGCAAAAAAAATTTCCGCTGAAATTAGCGAGAAAAATTTGAAAAAAAAAAGTGGAAATCCGTGAAAGAATCACATCCCTGATTATTAATAAATAATGGGCGACATAAATATTTTCATGCCATAATGTTATGTCTTACATGAATGTTGCACACATACCTAGAAATTTTAGATTAGCAAATGATTCCCAAACTTAATGAATTTTGTCTAAATCTGCAATTTAATAATTTTGTATTTGGAAAATCATTATTTTTTTCTTCATAATAATAATGAGTTACCAGAATGAATTTTAAAAAAATCAAGTAAATATGCTTGTAACAATTAGTGAACGGCCCCCCGATTTTCGATATCAGATTTCTTTGAAATCATTAGTTAAAATACATAATTAGTAAATAATGGAAAAATTGTGATACCACAAAGGGTAGTGATATAAGAGTATGGCATACATGCGTTGAAAGTGAGTGATCCCTTAAGATCAATATATATTTAAAAAAAAAAAATTCTGCTTCAACTAATGATTGAATTGATGAAAACAATTTTTTTAATAAAAAAGCTATAATTGATTAAAATATGAAGTTATAAAGAGAGAAAGCTATAATAATAGGGGGAAAAAAAGAAGATTTTCGATTTCTTTAGTGGAATGAGTGTGTCAACAAGCACAAATAAGCACCTTCATTAATGCTGTTTATATGCATGCAGTTAATTTATAAAAGACAACAGCAGTATTAGTAATTATAACAGCTTTTCACCTAACATAACAGTAACTTTTAAAATGCTTATTTTTTTTATGGCCAAGACACAGAAAATGAGGATAAAAATGAATAATAACTAATATAGACAGAACTATAAAAAATAATTTAATTTGATGATACAGTTTTGAACACGAATGATTGTTGATCTATTTACATCCTGAAATAAAATCATAATGATGATGATGCTAATTACAAATGATGATATGGAAATCACACTAAAATATACACTATATAATTGCGTACTGTTCGTACAATAATTCTCGGACTCTGAAATAATCTTCTGTTAGGACTCCCTCAAAATCAATATGACCAGATTCATTCTGGAAAAAAAAAATTACATGTAAATAAAAGAAAGTAAATGAATAATAATAATAAAATAAATTATAAGTAACATTTTCACAAATGAAAACAAATATAACATAGCAATCAAAATATGCTGTGAAAAACAGCGCTATTTTTGGTTCGATTCTCACGAATCAATTTAAATGTAATCTTTTGTAAACAAGCACAAAAACACCTTTCTTAAAATCGACTCAACCAGTTTTTGCGAGACAGCAAATATTTTTTGAAAATACATTTATTAATAAGTGACAATACATGTAACAGCTCATTGAATTAAAAAAAATATAATTTAACTTACATAAAACACACGAACGATATGAGGTAATCTTACCATTGAAATGTTTTATTTCACAGGTTATCTGCTACATTTTAGATTTTCATATCCATGACTTTTCATGAATAAATCTAAGAATTTTTCATGACTAACCAAAGTTACTATTTTCTCCAGAAAAACACAACAATAAATTTAATAAAGCATCATAATAACATTAATTGAAATGATAGGTATAACGAAAATGTTATTCTTTGCATCTTCATATTTATTGATTTTAAACTTAAAAAACACAGTAAAGAAAAAGTTGAAGCAATAAAATAGCTGAAAAAAATACAAAAGCAAATAATTAAATACTGCCAGATATAGGTAGTTATTTAAAGCTGTTTTATTTCTTTTTTGAAGTAAGTGTAGAATAAAAAGCCTAAACTAGAATTCTAAATTGATAAAATAAAAAAATTCTGAAATCACAGAAGTTTAAAATATAATTCACTCTAGAAATGATGTTCTTTCATTTTTTGAAAGAACACCATAATTTTTAATAAAAAAATAATTTCTGATAAAAACATTTTATATTTTAATAGAACATGACTAGACTATGAGTGGAGATTTTGCTACAAATTTAGACATTTGCAGCATCAGAACACTATGAAATTAGAAGGGGGGATAAATTCCATTTTATAAATTAGATTTTTTGGGGACCATAACCCATGACTTTTTATGATCTTTATTAAAAAAATAGTTAAAATCATGACAAATTTTGTTCAATGACTTTCCAGGTGTGCATATGCTCTGATTTTATCACCAGAACTAAATAAACTATTAACATCACACTTGCTTTATATTAATTTCTGCAACTTTGAACAAGATTCAGAACATTGGAGAATAACATTTAGGACAATCCTGCCTCAGTAAAGGACTTTTTAGTGCTTTTTTTCTTTTTTGAATTTAAATTTTCGATATTTTGTTTTTCTTCTCTCCTTCCCTTTAGATTTAAAGAATTCATGAAATGTTAAAGAAAAATGGATGAATACCCTTTTTAAAGCAACAACATCATTACAGTACAATACTCCACCAGCAAACTCAGCATTTATACCGTTTCTCATCAAAACTTGCTTAAAATCAGAAAGCAGTACTTCATTGACAAATAGGGTGGGGTGACCAGATATCTGAAACAAAAATTGAAGTTAATAAAACAGAGGTGACACATTATTTCAGTCATTGTTTCAAATCTCGTCACTACACTCTTTAATATTAACTCATTTAACAAAGTGAAAACTTTCAATTATTCACCTTTCTTAAAAGAAAAATCAACAAATAAAAAACAATTTTATTATAATTGCTAAAGTAGGACTAGGCGATTCTTGCAAACCAGGGCTGGTTCCTTCAAAAAATTTTTTTCCTATTGTTAAGGGTTAATGACATTTTGCAACAGATTTGCAATTTTTTTCATACGTTTTCTTTTTAAAAGTAAATAAAGAAATTGGAGAAAAACACTGAAAAAAATTATTACAACAAGTTTTAATATTTCGCTAGCAAACATGCATCACACCTTCAGCTACGGGCCAAACTAGCTAAATATTCAATTACGCCAAAAAAATTCTTTTCTATCAATAAAATGTTTCATTTATAAGGGTAGATAATAAAATAATTAATATTAATAAGTTGAATTTTATGTATGGGAGTAGTTTTCTTAACTATGTCATGTTAAATTAAGTCCTATTTCAAATAAAAACGGGCCATACTAATAGCAACTTAAATCATTCTACTATTTTTCTTCATTAGGCTTAACTTAATTTTTTTTAAAAATTCAATGCAATAAATATTTTTATGAAATTTTTTATAGAATTAAAATACAATTATGCTTGAGAAGATTTATAATTTATGAACCAATGTTTTTTATTAGTTCTAGGTGAAACATACAAATAAAAGGGTCCAAAACGACTTTTCAAAGGTATCAAGGCATTCCTATGGCTAGAAAATTCATAAGGTTCCTTAACTAATAAATACTGATAATTTATTTATATTTTCATCATTTATTAATATCTCTATATCATCCTTTTTCTTTCTTTATATTATTCCATACTATTATTATAATTTGATATTTAATTTTTATCGCAAATGAACAGTTTAAAACTGAAAGTAGTATTCTTTTATTATAAAGTAATTCTGTAATATCACCTTATAAGGTAAAGTTCTGTAAAAAAATATTGAAAAATTTTAAGTAAAACATATTGAAAATGGCATGTACCCTACCATTTTGAAATTATTACTAAACAGCGAATGTGTTAAATTTACTTTTGTGATGAGCTTCACATAAAATTATTTCCGACCAAAACTTATAAGGAATTTTCACAAAATATTACTAAACAATCTAAGGAAAAACATGAACTAATTTCAAAGCAATGTAGAGTAGAAAAGAAATTTAAAAAGAAAGTGCATTAAGTTGCAATGTTAACTGAATAAAATGACTATTAAAATCTAAATTGAATTTTATTCTAATAGACATTAATAATAGACATCTTTTAATTGAGAAGATTTAAATTTTTAAGTAACAATCTGCTTATCCTTATGAAATAAAAATAATAGCGTAACTATCTAAAACTTTAAAAAAAACAATTACAAGGCAACAAAACAAGTCATAAATAGTTACTAAATATTTTACTTTCTTGTTAGTAGCAAATCATTCATTTTCATTTAATACTCAGGAATAAAAATATAAGTATTTTTGTAAAAGCTTGGGGTTTTCATCAAAAACCCAGGCTGGGATTTTTCAACCCCTGTTTATTACAGACCTGTTTAATTTTCAACACAATCATGAATTTTTAAAAATGTTAAAACTTATTATAAATCTATAGCTATTTATTACTGTGAAAATTATCTGCATTTATTTTATTCTTCAAGATTTTTGGAAATAGTTTTCCTTACGGATTCTAGTTCAAAAGTTTTTTTCCGTTGTTGATACTTCTTTCCTTAGGGTTTTACTTCGTTCTCATAAGCACATGTGTTACCAGTAGAACTGAATTTCTTGAATTTTGAAGGTCAGTGTGGGTTTTCTACTTCGGTATCTTAGAACTGTCCCCCCCCCAAAAAAAGCACCATCTCTTCCAGGATCAGTATCCCCCTTGTCGACACTCTATTCTTTTCTCTTAGAATGCTGCACTCTCCTCATAGAGTATCATTCTAGGCAAATTGCAGAATACATTAATGAAAGGAAATGCACACACATCCCTTCTTGTCTCTCTGAAATGCTTTACACTCAATGCATGGTCTAATTCTAGGTGATAAAAGAATGAATTTTTGTTTTAAAAACCTTGTATCAAAATTAAGTACTTTTAAGGGCCTTTATTTTCCAAAATAAAAATTAAGCAGTTTTTAAGGACAGTGGGAGCCCTGATATATTTCTTTAAATAAGTTGTTTTGCAATTGAACTTTTGATTAGGTCTCTCTCACGACGAAATCAAGCGTCAGTTGACCTTTGAAATTTCTAGAAAACTAACATTTTAATGCAAAACTTCAGATGTGAGATAAGACTGAAGGATCAAGTTTCTATATCACAAATTTTATATTCTCTTATTGCTAGAAATACGGATAGCTTGAGAGAGCCACATTCTCACAAACAACCCAGCTAAGCTAGGTAAGATGTCAAGTGGTTTCCATACCAATTTTAATATATATGTCTTCAAACACTGCAGATACATGAACTATATTGTAGTTGCCTTGCAGTTAACGTAGTTGAAACACTTCTTTAGAACTCATTCAAAAGAAAACTAAAACATTAAAAAAAAAAAGAAGAACCGTTTGGAAGCCCGGAAATTTCTTTTTTATTTTACATCTTTATAGGTGATGGCTATTTTTATTTAAAAATAAAAAAGATTAATTTATTTGTAGCAGTAAAATGGAAAATTATCATTTGAGAAAAAAAAAATTGCATTTAAGTTTTATATCATACCTGACTTGTAGGTAAAGGCTGCAGAACTGGTATTTTTTCTATTTCACTTTCACCTAAAGAAATAGATTGAAACAAATATTATTTTTGAAAAAATAAGCATGCATTGAAATAAGTACAGTAGAGTCTCGAAAATCCGAGGTAATTGGGGCTGACACTACCTCGGATTACTGAAAACTCGGATTTTCCGAAAAAATAGAAAATTTTTAACAACTACAAATGAAATTAAATAAAATGAACATATTACCTTAAAATCCTTTATTCTTTAGTATAATGATGTAAAAGATTCTTTACAATTTAAAAAAATTGTCAATTCTTTGTTGCGTCAGTATATTACTTCTCTTTGTTGATGCGATAGTCAGCCAACGCTTCAAAAGCAAAACATCTGCAGGGGTGGCTTCAGTTTGCTGTTTCACATATTTTAAGGCTAGTTCTAAGGCTGCAGAACCTTCACTATGAGATATTTTTTTTCCTGATAACGGAGAGTCGTTTTCCTCTGTTTCATATTCTTCCTCATCTTCCATCATTTCTATAATACTTGAGTCTGTTATTTCCAGCTTGTCGTCACTATTTAGCCATTCATTTAGATCAACTGCATTAGTGTTTTCGCAGCCTGGTAATTCCTTCACCAAATCTTTCAAAACAATTGTTTCACTATCATCATCATTAATTTTCTCAATAGGCGTAACCAATTCAGGTAGAAAGTTAGTCCACTCCACGATTTAATTACTGTGGTAGGTTGAACTTCTTCCCAAGAATCTGCTATCCAGTAGACAACATCTCTCAGACTTACATTCCTCAAAACATCCGCAACACTTTCATCATCAGACTGAACTAAATGTTGTAACAAACGGTGTCGATATTTTTTCTTTAAATTTTCCAATCCATTGGCTGAATCAAACTTGTAACATTGGCGGGGAAAAATATAGCACGGATTTCACCTCAACGTAGCTCATCATCGTCCGGATGAGATGGAGCGTTATCTAAAAACAAAATTGCTTTGCAAGGCAAATTTTTTTTTTCTCAATGCCTTCCGTGTTTCTAGAAACCATTGTTTGAAAATTTCTCGATTCATCCATGCACTTTTCTGATTTTGTTCTGATTTTCTGATTTTTGCACTTTTCTGATCAAATTTGGCACCTCGAATTAAGCGGAACCTCGGACTTCTGAGACTCGAACTTTCGAGACTCTACTGTATTAGTTTTTTAAAAACAGATACATATTTTAAGGAAATAAGGTCTAGCTAAAAAAATTCCATTAAAATTTTGTTTTTCTCCCAAAAAATCGCAAATTGTCATACACTTTACCTAAAATAGATATGAAATTTATTACACACTACAGACGTGCCAACCTGGCAGAATTAACATTCCTCAACAAGAATTCAGGAAGGATAAAAAAGGTAAGCTATGCAACATACTTGACACTTCTAATGAAATATTTTGAATTAAAAATTACACAAATATAGGAATGAAAGAAATTTTACACAAGTGTCTGCTTCGAAATTTGGCACAGACAACATCTCATTTATTTACTCACACAAAAGAAAAGGGAGAAGAATCTGGTGAGTTTTATACGTCAAATAGGATTGTGAATTTTGAAGAGTGGAAAAAAAGGACATGCAGTCAGTTGGTAGTTTGGTAAACAGGGGATGAAATGTTACAGAAAGGAAAACAAAACTTCTGTTGGAAATATCAATGTTAATAATGTCAAATCAGCTGAATCTATGCTCCTTGTTTACCTCTAGTTAAGTCACAGGATGATGTAATAAATTTTGATGTTTATCGAAAGTGCTAACAAACGACGCTCAGGAGAGAATGCTTTCCTCACGGGAGAAGCCAGTTACTATTCAACTCTTCACATACTTGTAAAATAATATATGCAAGATGCTCGGTAGCTCATAATGGGTCGATGATGCCAAATCTCGATGTTTAAAAGTCTTCGTCAAGCTTTCTCTCTCCTTTTGTTTTGATAAGTTGCAATGTAAGTTTTTAAGAAAGGAGTTCGTGTTCTGGCATGGGATTCGTAGCTGTTAGTATGTTAGCTTGTTCTTTCATGAAATAATTTGAATTTGTGTCAAATATATGTTTATAAAGCAGCTGTATTTGCCTAAGTTCTTCCATTGTGCTAAAATTCACTCTGCTATCTACTTATCTAATGATGTTGTCGGGCAAAAGAGGTTCATATCCTCACATCAACTTTGGCTTTTGCAGAAAAATCTACAGCAAAATGCGGGTGAGTTCGCACGTCTATATGTAAAATATGCTTGCTTGCCCTAACAAAGATCATAAATCAAACCTATCTCATCAACAGTTTGTTAACAATAAGGTACCCGCCAACTACAATGGAATTCCGTAATTTCAGGAAATTTTTTTTCTACTGGTAGAAAAGGTGATATTTTAATAAATCAGAAGAAAAAAAATGTTCACCATTACACATAAATAACTTAAACAGGTAGTAGGACTGGGCAATAAGTCAATGCATGGGAAAATATCAATTCTATGTAATCATCGCCGATTGGATGCGTGGTGGTTGGTTGTGTTCAGGAGATGAATAGATTTGAGTTTTACATTTAATTAGTATTTATTTTACATTTTAGTATTAAGTATGAGAAGAGAAAATATGAAACAAGAGCAGGGCGTGATTCTACAATGGCAGTTAGGATTCTTCTGGTGAAGGACAGAGACAGTTACTAATCGTAACTGTCGCAGTTACGATTAAGTTAAGTCGCCACAGATGTTTGGAGCACCAGAAATCATGATTTACTGAGATGAATACTATATTCCCCGATGTATAGATGGCATTGTTGTCAACATGCACAATGTTGAGCATTGTTCCCAATAGCACATCGATGACTGCAAGCTCACGTGAAGATCATTTTCCTCTGTAAGTGTGCAGTGATCGTTAACTTCTTTCATATACATCGCAACTCATCACTTTGTCTACATGAATCCGAATGTGATTGAGAATCAAAGTGTTGTTGAGTTTCTTAGTTATGGAATAGTTTTCTTTTAATTGTGTGTGTGTGCAAATACTGCTGATTTTTTTTACAATCAATGCAGCCATTTATTGTTTCTTAACCGCTATTTTGCAGACATCCATGTCCTTAAATATTGAGAAATAAAAAAGGCAATGCTCATTGAAAAAAAAAAATGCAACTTACTAGTTGCGAGTTTACGCAGTACTAAATGTAAACCATTAACGTACAAAAACACTGCGATGCAACAAAATATAGCGATGTTGGAGTGGCGATACATTGCGATGCCAAAACCTTAACATCTCCCAGTCGTAACAGGTAGATAAGGTCAGATAGTAAAGTGGTCATGTTTTTAAGTTCTGATAAAATTTATATTAAATCTATATTATATTTATTTAAAAAGAAAAACTGCTTTATTTGAAAATCACACGGAAATATACTTTTCAAAATCTCAAATATTGGAGGGTATGTAATAGTTTATTTACAATCCGTTAAGCTCTACGCATGGAGACGATTTGATTGAGATAGTCGGGTGATTGTAAGTCCAACTCAAATGAAAAAAAAAAAGAAAAAAATTTAAACAAGGTTTTTTCCCCTTTTCTCAATATTTCTTAGTTTACTTAAAATACATTTAAAATTTTACACATACCTATGATGATCTGGAGAAGTAATTGAAATTTACAAATATGTCTTTCTTTTTTGAGTTAATGATTATAATAACTATTTACTGATAAAAAATGAATATTAATCTTGAATATAAGCTTATAAAGTATCTGGCTCACCCTTGCAAACAAATAAAATAAACTGTGTCTTTAAGTTCCACCTTTGAAAATTTGATTTCCGGAAACTTTTGTGATCAATGATTTTTTTAAACGTCTGAACCTTCGATCTCCGGAAACTTCCGAATCACGGTTAGCTCCGGATTTTTTTCCGGAGCACAATCAGCCCTGGAGAGTGTTCGTAGGCTGAGACAAACAATAGTCGATTTCGGTTCATTATCTTAAGTCAATAACTATTACTTAAAATGAAAAACAAATAAATAATTTACTTCTTTTTGTATCTTCTGTTTCTTCATCTTCTTCTGGATTCTCAGTGTTATTCATAACTATTTTGTCAGCCTCCTCCTCCATTATGATTTCTCCATCCACCCAAGCAAGTTCAACATCGTCTTTGGACTTAACAAAATCTAACGAACTAACCAGAGAATCTTTCAGTTTGACCTAAAAGTAAATAAATTTTGAATAGTCTGGAAATTTTGTTTTGAGAAGGCCCAACCAGGGCAGTGAAACCAATAACAATGTAATTTCTTTAGAGACATAATTATTACTGACTTCTGAACAACAGAGGGTAGCTATTTAAACAGGTTTCATATTTTACATTTGAAGGTAATAAAAAAACTTTATTCAATCCAAATTTGCAACTGATAAATTCAAATAAAAATAAATAAATTGAAGTATTCGTATTTTTTTCAATGTTAACTAAACTTGAGTATACAACATTGAAAAATCAGGAAAAATGATTAATGGAGAAGTAAATATAAAATGTGATAGTTCAACATTAAAATAGGTAATGCAAGTAATTTTTCCTCTTAAGTTTTAAAGGAGTTCCAAGTTTGACTAGTTATATCCTTACACACCTTCAATGAGTTTAGACAGAACACAGACACTTTTAAGAACTATCTTTCTTTTCCACAAAGTTAAAACTAAGTAAAGTAGGAGTGCACGAGCTGCGGTCTGCGTTAGCTTCTGAACACAATGAAAAATTAAAAAAAATAAAATAAAAATTGTCAGAAATTTTGAGTCAATATTTTTTGACGTGCTTAATTCATCCAGATACTATAGTAGATCTATGTTGTTTCTCGATTGTGTTTTCAGCGGTTATTACTACGAAGTTCCAGGTGGATTTAAAAAACCCAATACTTTTAACATGACACTTCGATTTGTGAATTTTGGATATGAGTAATCACTTTTTGGATCCTTTTTTATAAATTCAAGAAATGTTTAACTTTTTTTTGCAGCTATAATTACTAATTTTCACATGGTTTTTAAAATCTCAATACATTTAATAAGACATCACGACTTGTGAGATATAAATCGTGCGTTTAATTCATAACTTTTTGATCTTTTATGGCAGTCATTGCTACACTTCAACACGCAATTTTGAAAATTCTGTAGTTTTATTATATGTTATTACGTTTATTGGTGTTGATTTAATTGTAAATTGCGATTATTGTGACACATTCACACATGATCCAGTTATTTTAATTATGATACTATTACCGCGTGCGAGTTTCTAATGGCACATTTAAATAATCACTTTATGATATAGAGCCCATTTCACTGTATGTATTTTTTACACTTTTATTTTGCGAGCATTAACAGAAGATAAACTCTTGATAAATAGGAAAAATCTAAAAAGAAAAATCTTTTTATAAAACGATTTTTTAGGATCAAAAGTATTTAATTTTCAGAAAATATAATATATGCTTCAAACATTAATGCTTCTATAAAAAAAAATGGTATTTGCCGTCAACATGACTAAATAACTTGCTTTTCTAGTGGCCACTAATTCAAGACGGTTGTGCATCTGGTACACTGATTCAGTTACTTGATCTCATGTTTTAGTCAGTGTTTCCATCTCTCCCACAAAATAGTATATTTCCCAATAATTGTGACAAAACACTTTCTCTACATGAAAACTTTTATTTAAATTCATTTTATGAAATAAATAAAAATCTAATAAGGAGATGTAAATGTATCAGTGGAAATTTGTAGGAACTAGTAATATAAACAGGGTGTTTATAAAATAACTTTGCTCACATGACCCCCTGGGAAGCATATCATTTGAATGAACAAATTTTGTGTAAGAATGAATGTATTAAGAATGGATCGTATTAAGAATGGATCTATCAAGTATGATGCTAAAAACAATTATGTAGCTCTCATGGTCAGTTATAGTGACAAAGTTTTCAAATGGCAATACTCACTCTTTATTATTGAAACTTAATTCCTAAAGTAGAAAAGTTGAAATGGATTTTGAACGGTACTTTTAGTAAAAGAAATGGCAACTCTAGGCATTAGCCAAGGGTCACCATTTCTCGTGACCACTCATGAGAAGAGAAAGCAATAAAAACTCAAAACTGCCATGCCATACATGTTTAAGGTTTTATCTTAGTCCTAAGAAAACTTGAAAACAAATTCTACATTCAACAAAGTATCAAAGTTTATTTAAAAGTCATAAAATAAGGACTCACCTGATAAATATGACTTTCCGTGGTTGCATCAACAATCTCTAGCAAATGGGGCGTGAACACTTTTCCGGGCACAGCCCCGGAAACGCAATAATTGACCAAGGCTTCGGTAGACTCGGGAGTCCCTCTGACGATTATCAGCCTTCTAGGTTTAATCATACTGAGAATTTTTTTAATGGACTCACTGTCTGATCGACCCTCAAAATCTATATACTGTACAGAAGATTTTATATCCAGTGTCTGCATTAGGGCAACACACTTTGTTGGGACTTCTGTAATATCTGGAAAAAAGAGATTCCAAACATATGATAGATTTGAATTTTGTGATAAAGAATAAAAGCTGAAAAATCAGGGTTATTAAAACGACAAGAAAGAAAGTTTATTGTTGAGTATTGGTTGCAACTTTCCTCATTTAGATAAGCATACCTGATTGTTGGTGAGACATTGTCTCTAAGGTCTAATGTTTATGTAAATAACTTTAAGACCATCCATGCTTTGAGGGATAAAATTGAGAGCTTAATCAATGAATATAAAACCATATTTATGCAAAAGTACTTTTTAAATTTGATGAATAATACCAAATGGCACACATTTTAAACTGTTTAATAATAAATTCTAGACGATTTAAGATAATAAATAATTATGAGTAGATATAAAATTAATTATGGATTAATTTATTAATATATGAATAATTACCCTTAATCGACCCTTAACATTCAGTAAAAATTAAAATTACAAATTGAAAAAATAAAGCTGGAAGTTATATTTTTCTTGTGTCACAAAGGAGTAAATTATTACTGCCTAGTTTAGCACACTCAACTACTGAGAACATGCATTAACATTTAATTTTTTTATTAAAGAATACTATTACATGATTTATAGCATAAATATCAGTAACATATTTTCATCCAGTTTAGCTGATGTTGTAATGCCTATATATACACCAATAATCGTCGACAGAATAACTGCCACCTATACAGTAACTAATTCAAGAATTTTTTTTACCTGTTATAAGAAATGCGATAGAGGATTTTAAAATCGCGTGAATACAAATAGCGATCTAGGACTTTGAAATCATGTGAATATGAAACTCGATATTAGATTTCAAAAATCTTTAAATACAAATCATGACGAAAAATTTTTAGATCGCGTAAATACGAATCACGATGCATAATTTCTAAATCGCGTTAATACGAATCCAAAGCCTAATTTTTAAATCACGTGCAAATACGAAAATCAAAGTTTGATATTACAACCTCATAAAGGAATCACGACATTGGATTTTAAACTGAAGGCAATACGAATCGCTACATAGGATTTTAAAAATGCGCAAATACAAATAGCAATATTGGATTTTTAAATCTCATAAATAAGAATTGCAATGTACGATATTGAAATTGCATAAATAAGAATCGCAATGCACAACTTTTAAATCAAGTAAATAAGAAAATCGATGTTTGATAAAAAAAAAAAATCCAGCGACCTCTGAATCATGAAAATATTAGCCATCCGGTGGGCAGGTAAAAATGCGGAAAATCTTATTTTTTGCACGTAAAAGTGGAATGGTTGGCAGCTACGGATAGTTTGAATTTTATATTTATCTTTGAAAATCGGAAAGAAATATAATTATTTTATTTCTACGGCTGAATTTTCAGAAAAGGTGTATTATTTATTTTAAAGAAAAAACTGAAACTTATAGAGAATTGGAGTTTTTGATAAAAAAAGAAGTTGAAATTCAAGAGACAAAAGTAAAAAAGGCGGAAATCAGCTAAAAAGCGGAAAAATCTCATCCCTGAATACACCATAATTTTTAATAGAACACAACTTATTGTTTAACAAGGATACAATTTTTTCTTTTAAATTCCTAATTTTATAGGAAAAACTTAAAACCTCTAATTCAAATAAATGAACACTATATGAGTGGATTAGCTCTAGAAATTCTAGCTGAGTAATTCTTGGTTACAGAAATAATCTGGATTTTCAACTGCAGCTATTTATCCACGAAAAATAAATTTATTAAATAAAAGAAATACCTTGTACTAAGTCATCATTTTCTATTTTATTTTCTTTGTTTTCTTCTTCAAGATTTGACGGTTCTAAAATCATATAGTCCTCAAGTCTGAAATTCAAGAATATAGACATGAATATATGACACATATAAATTGTAAGTGTATAATAATACACCACAATAGACATGGGAAAAAGTATGCAGAATTTAACGCATCATATTATTAAGTGAGGTAAAGTAGTAATAAGTATTAAAAATAGGTAAAATTAAATAAATTTCAAAAAAAAAAAAAAAAAAAAATAAANAAAAAAAAAAAAAAAAATTTATATACTTTAGCAGGTATATACACATATGTATATATATACAAGAGGGCTCCGCCCCCTGCTCACCAACCCCCGATAATTACTACGCAATTAAATTTTTGTTCGCTCCGCGAACAAACTTAAAGTTGTTTTCCTGGAGATTAGCTGGCAATTTTTCTGCACCAACATCACATAGAGAGAATATTATAGGATTGTAAAATGTCAGAATAACTTATTATCAACATTATAAACTTATATAAAGCGAGGAAGCAATATTATTTAACACATTACTATAGGGCATTAGCCGGAGATTAATCTCCGTATACGAAGCACTCGTGGTAGAGCCTAACGCAAATCATTGTTGATCTTATAGGATGCCGGACGCACCCTATATGGTGCTTTATCTCCCCCCCCCCCAGTAATTTAAATTTTAAACTAAAAACAATTAAAACCTGATGAAAAAAAACTTTACAAAAATTACAAATAAATTAAAACATGTAATATTAATAAGTTGATTCTAAGTAATATTTCAAAAGCAAATATCATTGCAAGTAATGGCTCAATTAACTTCAATACTGTGAAATGACAAAATATTTTAGTTTCAATCAGAAGTATTTGTAAGTACACCAAAGTATTCGTTTTCATTTAAACGTCTTACCTTTTCAACGTTTCTTAGCAGCGCATTGATAGCACTACAATTATTTTCCAGTTAATTTTGTGTAGCTAAATCATGTCGCTGTTGATATCGCCTAAGATATTCACGGCAATGCATTTTTTATAAAAGATATAGGTATTTTAAAGTAAACTCTGTTCAATATATTTTGATAATTTGGAATATAAATAGTTTTTAGTGAGAGTGTTGATTCGTGCTTCCAATAACTCTACCCGATTTATCAAAGCTATAAAAATATATTGGAATTCTAAAATAAATAACTGCGTTCTATCAAAACAAACATTTTATTATAAAGCTTTAGAACAACTATCTTTTTACATTGCAACTCAAAATTATTAATAAACACTGAATAATATTGTGTTAATGACACTTTCATCTGATGACATCATAAACAATCGTTTGCATAAAGTCTAGTTCATAATAATCACATATAATCGTTTGCATAAATAATAGTTCGGTCTTTTTATAGCTTTACGTAGCAAGTGTGAGATTTTTTTTTTTTTTGGAATGGCGATGTTATAATTTTGCTGTTGAGCTAATAAATCTTCCTTTTTATAAACGTAATAGTAGAGTTTTCTTAATTATTTGATTCGAAGTCCTCTGAGTTTTGTTTGAGGTCAGTTTGTATTTTGTATTTTTTGACAGCTTTATTAAAAATTATTACCTTTTCACACACTGCATTCTCAATTTTGATTGGCTGTTTTGTGCGTTACTAAGCAGAAGTCTTCTGTGATTGGATATGTGTTATCATTCCACTCTCTTCTTATATATATATATATATATATAAAAGAGAAATTTTAATAAAAATGACCAATTCTGAGAAACACAACCCTTTTTGGATAGAGGGTCACAAAGATTGAAAGATATTAGGCTGGATGACAATATCAGCAAAAAGATGTAATCTTAAAACAGGGCAAATTTTTCAACAAAAAACCAAACACCTTTTAAGCACTTTAAATTTTTCCCCTAATGTTTGAAGTTCTTCATATATAATAATATAATTATTTTATTAAATTATTTAAAAAAATTAATTTTAATAAAAAAATTACAATTGGTTTAACAAACTTAAAGTACAGGGAAAATTTTTTAGAATTCAACAAAAATTATTTATAAATGTATACTTAACAAAACATCACAAGAATAATATTATTGATCATATTGAACTTATAGAGATGTTTAGAGAATTCAAGTAAAAAAGTCTTCATAAATTCATATAACAAATGTACAAATGAAAACTAGTGAATGGTCTCTGTTAAAGTTTTTTGTAATTTGGATCAGTATTAGTTTAATGAAATAATTAAAAAAAATCATTAATGTTAAAATGAAAAGACAATGATGCTAAACATTTTTGTCAGAAGTAAAATTTTATATGTTCCCTATATTAATTTTATTTAACAAATTTGAGATTATTCAATAATTTTAAATCAAATGATAAAACAATTACAGAATTTTGAATCGACAAATCTGTAACGCAAGATTTTTTACGGTATTTGAAAATTCTGTTTAGAATCTTGCCTTGCCATAAAATAACTTAAGAGTTCAGAAAATTTTCTTAAGAAATCCGATAAAACGAGACTACAATAAAAAGTCTATTTTATATAACTTGTGGATGGTCTCTCAGGCATTTAAGCTTTCATGATTAAAAAAAATCTCAATTCTTATTAAATCACATTAATCAAAGGGAAACAAAAATTTGAAATGATGATAGTTGATTGTTCTGTGAGTGCAAGAATCCTCCTCGAAGAATCCAGCCTAGTCATGAGCATACAGACTCCAGAGTAATTCAACCATCATGTAAAATGATCAGTACTTTTGAATGGTATCTACGACGGTAGACAGGAACAGATTAAGGCTCAATGCTTTTTACATAATTTATTGTTGCAATCGACATAACAAAGTAGAAAAAAAATTCTTTTGGCTTGGAGAAGAGAATATAAAGTACCTTTTACAAACACCCAATAAAAAAAGCACCTTTGAGGGCCTTTAGAACTAAAATAAACAAATAAGTACTTTATAAAAAGGTTATGCACTCTGTTAAAATAACTGCAATATGTTTTACATGCACACGAAACATGTCAAAATTTTTTTTACTTTGAAAGACAAAAAAGGAAAAAGAAATATAGTTACAAAATTGCAAAGCAAGTTTTCACAACCAAATTATAGACATGGAAAAAAAAATCCCAAATGTTCATAATTTAGCTTTTATTATTAATCAGGAAAAATAGTCAGAAAAACATTCAACATCGTAGAATGCTTTGCATGCGAAACACAAATAAAACTGTATATAATTATCTTACTTTATAATTTCTCCATAGTCATCCCATTTAATTTTTTCTTCCTTCAGAGGATACATGGGATAAGACTTTCTGGCTTGTTTGAAAAAACCTCCACCCCTTTGCTTCCCTTCTATTTTCATCATGAGGTCGTGTCTGGCGCTACCGCCTCTGTCTACCTCCAGTTCATCTTCGTCTTCCTCGCTCGAATCTGAACCTCCAAATTCGGCATCTCTCTCACTTCGCTGTCTGGCGGCTTCTAACTCCTTTTCCTTTTCTTTTTTTAAATATTCTTCTAACTCAGAACCTTCAAGGCGGACTCGTTTTCTAATCTAAAAATTTTTTTCCCGAGCATGAGTTACGAAGTTTGGGAATTTTACTATTAAGTAGATAAAACAAATTTACTGAATAAATTAGATTCCAGAAAAATTAAGACTTTTTTTTTCTCAAAAAATTGTACATCAAAAAAGCTCATATCAGGTGATTTCTTGAAAAAACTTATGAAATTAAATCGCTGTAACAAGAAAACCAATAATCCAATAGAACTGACAGTTCAACAGGATGGGAATTTTTTTTAGGTGTAGTTGGAAAAAAAAAAACTTGCACAGATAATTTAAGAATATCAACAATGGAGAACAAAAGACAGAGAAAATCTAATTACAGAGTAAGGCATTTGTAATGAACTACTCAATTAATGAAAGAGGTTTTAAATGTGCAGAGTCCAGATGTCAAACTCCATGCTTCACAACAGCGTGAAGGGTATCTCGATAGATGTTGTGGATCTGCCGAACGTGCATGGTCAAGTAATATAAGTTAATAAAACCACCAAAATATACAGTATTCTTTATATTGCTCTCATTATTCTGATAATAGAGTCTCACTACAAAGTAGTTATTGTGAGGACATTCACAGAATAAATTAACACAAGGTGCCAGTTGTTCTACATTTTTATTACCATTAAGTGCACGTCATACGTGTGCTCATTTCAAAACTTAATTCATATGTTTAAACACAAGTCAGTAAGTTTTTTAACAACAGCTAAAAAAATCCCTTTGCTTTGGGAAAATACTATTAAAATTTTAGTTCCTTTGTGTCAGGGTTTTTCATCACCACTGCATGCATTCCATACACAAGCTTTACTTTACATAAATCAGTAAGTTTTTTAATCACAGCTAAAGAAGAAAAAAAAAAAACTACCTTTGTTTTGGGAGAATACTGTTGAAATTTCAATTCTTTTGGAGCAATGGTTCTTTTGTCTCAGGATTTTAACTTCACAATTTTTAAAATCACACTGTGTTTTCACACTTTCTTTTAAAAATGTAAGCTATTAAATGACACTTTAAAACAGAAATGGTACCTGACCTGGAGTTCTACGGTTCTTTGTTCTGGAAAGTCAATAAGAGTCCTGGCCAACGTATTTGGCAAACTCCTGGAGGTGAGAATGATACTATTTTTAGGATTTCCACACCACTGGATAAATAATTCTCGAGAAAAACCACATTCCATTCCAGGCATGCTTGCCAAAACAACCTACAATGGGTGACAGAATCAAGACAAAATAAATAAATAAAATAAAGAAGCTACCGTATATTCCGGCGCATAACGCGCACCCGTAATTTCTAATTGCTTTTTTTAAATTTTAAGATATACTCTTCGTATAACGCGCGCGAAAATTTGGATTGTACATGTGCAATATCTCGTCTTTCAAGATCGTAAATAAAAAGTATTTTTCCCTATCTTTTTGGAGAAACAAAAGAACTGAATTTGACATATATGTGAGGGTAGAATTGAAAGAGCAATAATGTGATTCTGGATGGACAAAAATGGTGTTAAATTGTGGGTAAAAAACATCTGGCAAATCCGTCCTGGTTGCGTTAAAAAACCACAAAGCCTTTTAGAGTGGGACATGTTTAGGTCCCACCTTACAGATAATACAAAAAAAATTGTAATTATAATACAAAAAATTTTTAATAATTGTAATTGATAGCGGAAGACAAATATAATGAACTATTTATGTAATAACGAAAATCAATGAAGTACATAGGTAAAGGTATGTTATTTCTTTAAAATAAAAGTATTTTTCTATATTTAAATTTTTTTAATCCATAATTTTTTATATTCGGCGTATACCGCGCTCCCGCAGATTCCAATGTTATTTTTTGTATTAAAAGTGTGCGTTATACGCCGGAATATACGGTAACTATTGGTGTTACATTATTGAGCATAAAGTTTTCTCAGTATCCTATAAAAAGGCTATAGAGGCAGGTAATTTATGACATCATCAGTTAGAAATATGTTAAGTGTTAGTTTTCACTTTCCCATTTAGAAATTTCACAGTTCGTAATCACTCACATCTTGGAGATAAAAATATTTTATTTCATCTCATACTTTGACTACTTTTTAACTTTGAATAGGATATGATCAGAGTAAATCATAAAGTAAAGAAAACGGATATAATATTGCAATCACAAAATGTTAACTGCACATAGACTTGAAATTCAAAAAATGTCTATAGAATTCTTTGAACAAAATTCTTTACTAAATTAAGTATAAGTTTAAACTAATCAAGTACCTCATGCAATATTATAGATGACAAGCCTTACTTCCTTCATAAATTTTAGAAAGGAGAGTCCTCACACAATGATAATATAAATTATGGATCCCGATCTAGGAAACATTATAAATAAGTAAGCTAGATGAGAACATAAGAAAAAATTAAGAATACGAATCAGGATGTTAAGCAATTTTGAACTATAGAAAAAGGGACCGAATCAACAGAAAATAAAGATTGAAAAGTTATTTTTTTAAGAACAGAAATTTTTTTTGTTCTTGGACGTTTCTGTTAATTCTTCCGTCCCCTTTATTTCAGCCCAACTTCCGTCCGCAGACATTTTCGAAAGACGGAAGACTTACATCTATGTCTCACTTTTCCACTGTTCACATTAACACATTCCACTAACCACATTTTTATATATTGAAAACTATCCTTCAGCGTTCACGTGAGTCGGTCATTTAAATAGGAATGCATTTTATATTCTTCTTTCCTAATTAGAAAAAATTATTTCCATCTTGCTAACCAACTGTCAAAAAAATACCAACTCTGTAATTTTGTCACATTGTTTCTAATCCTTCTCAAAAGGCATTATGAACTTTGTATAAACTGCACGACCCATTCTCTCGTACAGCCAGAAGACTCTCGTCTTAATAGCATTTGGTCCACTGCTACTCACGAGAATATTTTTAAGGGGGCAGTTAGCATTTGATTGCAAAACTTTGCGAGTTGCATGACCTAAGAAAAAAAAAGTTTGAATGCGCTTTTGTACAATTTTGTCCTTTGTGTTGGACCAATACCAAATTATACTGGAAAACAGTTTTACAAGAATTCACTCAATCAACATTAATTCCTCTAAACTGGAAAACGTGGAAGAAATCCTATTTTTGTTTGACAAAAGAATGAAAATAAAATATTTACCTGAGTACATGCTGGCTATTTGTTATTATCTAAACTGATGTTAGGGACCAAATGTTAAAAAAATGGGGAGGAAATGGACAAAAAAAAAGAAGAAAAAAAAAGGGTACTTAAGGGATCAACTATAAAGATACTGAGAAAGAAAACAGAAACGTTGCAGAATACCAAAAAGTAAAACGACATAAAGTACTGAAAATTACCTTTGGTTCAGGTACTTTATTTAGCTCTCCAAGACTATGACATAGCTGTAGATGTTTAAACTGGAAAGGGTTGCTTTTCTGTCCACCCTCAAATGAACGTAAAATTTTATCACTCATCCATTCAACCTGAAACATAATATAAAACATTAAAAAAGAAAAAAAAAAGGCATCAGTGATTACTTTATATATGAAGTTTTCTACTGTTTGAAACTTTTACTGAAAGTTATTCTAACCAAAATGGAATTTATATCAGTAGATTTTATAATAATGTAACACAAATATAAATTATTAAATAAGTTTTCTGAATAAACTTAAAAAAATAATAATTTTATAAATTGTAACGTTCTGTGGATCAACAGCATCAAATACGTCAATTTACTGACATTACTTACCAAATTACGTATTGTTTTAATTGGGTATAATTTTAGAACTTCAGGTGTCCAGCAAAAGTCAAAACAAAGAAAGACAGTAACCTAATAAAATATTTATTAGGAAATCTATTGAGATATGTACCTGAGATTTTGCAAATTCAACAACATTGTAGCTGACATTATTTAATAGTGCTAATGAGTATGCCATCAACCCAGAATCTTGGCTTCTCCACAACTGATCCTAAATAAAAAACATTATGGAACATAAGTTTTATATTTTACACATTTCTCCTTAAATTGCGCAATAATAAACATTCTATTAAATATATATAATTAAAACACATACTGAAGTATACATATTGAATTTAAATTTAAGTAAATCACAACTATATCATTTAATGTCCCAAAGACAATTTTTTTAAATCATATATAATAGAAAATTTATGCTATAATATAGCTTTTAAATTTCATTATTTTTGTTTCTAAATCATCCTATTTAAGGAAAGATTTGTAATATTTTAGAAAGGAAAGCTTTTAAGTTCAAAATTCAATAATCAAAAATAAAAATTCTGGAACAAAATATTGTAATATGTATGTATTTCATGTATGTACCTACAACGATTTCTTTTTATAAAAGAAGATGACATCAAAAAATTGTTAATTTTGAGCACATAAAAGTTTAAAGAAGAAGCTATTTCTTTAAAAATGTACAAGCTAAATGAAATATATTTTCCATTAGTTAATTCACATAAAAAAATCAATTACTAAATTTCTATAATATTAACTATTATAAAAGTTGAAAAAAAAATTCTTAAACTTTCATTTAAAAATATAACAAAAGAATTGGATATTAAAATATTCGAAACTGCTAGAAAGTTAGTTTCAAAGTTAAAATTTGAAATAAGCACAATAACATATAAATAAATATAAGAACAATAACTTTTCATCACTTCAAAATCATTTGAATGTTAACATTTACCATCATGTGAGCTAACTCCAGAACTCTTCCAGCTGTATCTACTGATATCATAACATTACCATCATTTCTTAAAGTTTGGAGAACATTCGCTATAAAAAAATTATATATGAATATAAATAATTTAAGCAACATAGCAAAAAAAATGCATAGGCCAGAATATTTTTATATTGACATTCCATTAATATCACTTATTAATGAGCGTGCACATCACAAGGAAAGTTGCCTCTATACCTCCCCCCTCCCGCTGTTCATAAAATTACACTGGGGAAGAGTATTAAAGTAAAATATTCTTATCACAGAGTTAAAGCTAAGTCTGTAGTACCCAATGTTTGGTTAAAAATGTAAAATAATACTGTTAATACAACTAGTAACTATGCATTGATACCAACTTGAATTAATATTTTTTGGCCTTTTAATTAACCAATTGCAATTTTCCATATTTTGCACATTGATATTTGTGACTTCAGTTGACAAATTTGATTCGTTAGAATACTAAACAAGTATTTTGTCTGAAAATCTTTAGTACTATTTGAAACAATCGAAAAATCTATAATATTTAGAGATGTAATACAAAATGCTAAAAAAATACTGAAAGCTAAAATTTTTTGAAATTCTAGGAGGGGGAAATTAAAACCCTTTCATGAAACAGTAACCACTGAACTAGTTTTGAATGCTAATAAATTATCAAATAATTAATCTAACATTTCCCCATTAAACTTTATGAAAAATGTGTTTCGAGTCGAAAATAATACAATGTAAACAAATATTTAATATGTGCCTTTAACAATAAATTTTTAAAGAAATGAATGCTCATAAATAACTCTTTTAAATTTGTGATACATTTTAAAAATAGTCTCCAAAAAAGAATGTGCACTAACGATTTAATAAATTGTTTTCATGATAAGCCTTCTCCCTTCAACTACTAAAATAAGAAATCGATATTGATATAAAACAGTTCAAACATACTCATGAGTTGTTCATCTCTAAACCTCCTCCGTGGCTGAATGTAGGTAGAGTTGTAAGAATCTGTAATGAGTAAAGATGGTCGAGTGATGGATTCTAACACACAGCCATTCAGATGCCTTTCTTTTTTGTGATTAAAATCAACAGCATATACAATGTCTTCTTCACCGTCTTTGACTATTCGCCAGATGGCACCACCTATCATGTGTCCACCAGGTAGAGGAGTTATCGCAATGCCTTGTCCCTTACCTGTAAATTTAAAATATACTAGTCTTTAGAAATAAAATGTTTTGAGAAACCTGGAGAATGATTTTTATATGTATTATAGGAAAATTTCAGACCATACTTTTTTCCTGTAAATAACAATTTTTCATTAAAAAAAGGCTTTTTTTTGCTATTGTAATGATAAAAATATTTACCAAATCTTTTATAATTTTTTTTATCCATCATTTACAAGAAATTAAATATCACCCAAGAAAGGTTTGATTTTGGAATTTAAAATATAAAGGTGAATAGTGTTATTTTGCACAAGAATTATAAAAACATTCCTGCTTATCCTTTCTGTGAAGAAATTATTTAAAATTGCTTTAAAAAAATAACAATGTAATGTTAATTATATCATATTATGATGATGATAGGATAATTTATATAACGACAAAAGCAAAAACTGCACCATCATTTTCTACAATCTAGATGGACTTGGATAATTACAGGTCCTTTAAATTTCCGGGTCCATTTTTACCAAAAGCAGGTCCCAATCTAAAATATGAAATCTCATCACCTATCTAACTACACTCACACTCATAATATTATTTTATCTATTAATAAACAAATCAATGAATTTTAAGTCAATAAGAGTTTAAAATCTATCACAGCTTTTAATTAGTACAGATCAAACACCCAGATAAAGGAAAAGGAATAATGTTAACACCCAAAAAATTTCTTTTTATATATGCCAACAAACAGTCTGCGAACTACATGCTTAATATAATTTTTTGAGTTAAGATTTATATTTTGATTATCTAACAATGAAGAATATCACACCTTTAAGGCAACTCAGTCAAGAAAAAACTTAAAATTATTAAATCTCTTTAGAATCTTCTACAAAGATTTTTTTTTGTTGAAAATGACGCAGATATAGTTAATGGTTATAACATATTTTAACACTTTTCAAAATAAAAAATCATATTCAAACTAAGTGAATCAATAAATATTTTCCTACAATAAAAAATTCTTGATACATATTCATAAAACACAAAATCTAAATACTAATATTTTAACGAGCATTTGAGAAATATTAGGACTAGTTTAAAACAATGGGCTGTTAATATAATTAGTGGGTATAAAATAGCAAAATACAAAATATGTTTACAAAAAAAGGGAAGAGCAATGACCCTTAAATAAGTAGCTTTGAATAATAACAGACAATTTTCAATATCAACAAGTTTTAAGATTCATTTAAATATATTTTTGTTTGTTTTGCTCCATACACATAAAAGAAAAGTTATTTTTTCATAATCAACAGCATACTTTAATGTGTCCTGAACTAACTATGCCATAACACATGACTTTAAGGTAAGAAAGGTACCTTACAACCTTTCAATTATTGAAAAATATCAATTGTATTTAACAGTTGGTAGGCATCTAATAACATTCAAACTAATAATAACAGGGTGGCCACTCAAATCAGGTTTCAAATTTCAATGATTTTTCCAGGTAAAAATCTTAACATTTCCAGGTTAACGTGTTTTTTCCCCCTTTCATAAAGTATAGGATGGATACAACAAATATACCAAAATTGTAAAGTATTTTATTTAAAATGATATTTTTTTTAATATATCATATTGAAAAAATAATTAAAGTACATTTATTTTAACTTAGCAGGACTTTATATATATATATATATATTTGTTTGAATTTTTAACATTTTGGTACAAGTTGGATGTGGAGAAAATAATATGTTCAGCATGTAAAATATATTGTTTTGAATTAATAAAAAAAGTTTAATGTGAATGTAATTTTTGCACAAAGTGCACCGAATAGCAAATAGAGAGACTAAAAAAAAAACGTAGCTATATTATTAGTGTGGTTTACCCCACACTAATAATATAAAGAGAAAAAATTATAAAAGTTATCTATTAGAAATATTTAAGATAAATAAAAANTAAATTTCAGTTTATAAAAAGTCGGTATAATGGATCATAAAATAATTTAAATTAAGAAAATCTATAAAAAAATTCCAGTTTTTCTTTAAAATTCTCTGATTTTTCCAGGTTTTTATATAAATTTCCCTTACTTTTCCAGTGTAAAAAAATTCCCTGATAATTCCAGGTAGGTGGCCACTTAGAATAAATAGATTTTAATCAGATAATTCTGATCTCTGTAAAAAGCAAAAATTAGAATTTATTTATAAAAAAATAAATAAATAAAATAAAACATAAACAAAGCACTAGGTATTAGACAAATATGTAATAAAGTCTGAGGGCTTTTAGACATTTTTACAAACCTTTCAAATTGATAGACTGATTATATTTCAGTTGTATTATTTTATCAAAAGCTGCATCAACATCATCCAGGGTAAAAAGGGTGAACTCTTCAGTATTATGACGAGACTGAAAAAAAGAGAACACTATAATGGAGATATTTATTAACTTTGATAGCAGCATATATTTTATAACTGCATTTTAAAATTAAAAGCATAAATTGAATACTTTAATCAAATTAATAGTAATTAAATACACGTATTCAAGAAAAACGGCCTTACCCCTTTTCAACAATAAATAATGTAAATTATTCGTATAATCTTTTGGCTTCTATTTAAATCTTTCATTAGTAAGGATTTAATATTTTATCATATAATAATAGTAACATTAAACTAAAAGACATATAGCCATAGAGTGATTAACTACACTTTTTCCAAAGGTCAAGGGTCATTGAACCCAGAAAAGGGGTCAGAAAGGGCTTCTCACATTTTATAAATGACAAGGGCACAGCCCTTACTAACATTACTATTTTTCAATAAATATATTATTGTATAATTTAAAAATTTTTTTTTTTTGTCTGAGTTCTAAAGGAGAAAAAATTTATTTCCAGAAAGCTTTAGCTGTCCCTTGACAGGGACTCTGAAGAAAAAAGGTCAATAAATAAGTAAATTATAACTATGAATACCTGAAATAAGTCATACATAAACATCTGTCCCATTTTATAAACAGGAACAGTAGCATAAATAGGACAATCCAAATTACACTTTCCAACAACATAAGGTAGGGCACCCAGATGCAAAATATCTGGGTAGGATAACAACACTGCATCTATTTGGTGAATATGCCTGTAAGAAAATAAAACACACATCATACTATTTAAAAAAAATTTTTTTTCATTATATTAATGTGCATCTTTTACAGATTTAGTGTCATTGTTATTTTAATAACCTTCCTAGTATCTTTATCTCGAGGAAAACATTTTAGATAATTCCCTTATTAGCAGTAAAGATTTATTTCATGTTCATAACTAAAACGATACATTCCAGCACTTTATATTTAAAAAAAAAAGAGGATTTGACATATAAAGAAAAAAAGTACTAATAATAACTTTTATCACAATATTAAACATTTAAAATTCTTATAAATTTTCTTCGTTTTAAATTTCTCATGAATATATTAATATATAAAATGAACGAATTAAAATCACATGCGAAAACTATTCATAACTAATTAAATAAAAAATCCGAAGAGACTGAAACTGTGAGATTTTACTTAACTAAAAAAACTTCACTTGCTTAGAATATCAGGGGTCTGTCCAGGTTTTTCTGAGAGGTACCTTTTTTTGTGAAAATTCAGGCATAATTTGTGAAAATAAAAAATAATATTAAAAAATCAACACAAAAATATGGGTTTATTGTTTCTTATGGGATACAAAAATAAAATTTTAAGAAAAAGTATTTTGTGAAACTACCGCTAAACGGTAGTAAATTTGGCCTGGACAGACCCCTGAATATGTAGACTGGAAATAACAGTCAACATGTTTTAGAAAGGGAACATTTTATTTTTTAAGTTCATTATGTAATTTGTGATTCAATTATTTCAGAACTAGAAAAAAGAAAATCAGCATACTTATTTTTGGAATCCAGGTTTGGATTCATGTCTACAAAAACTTAGTCTGAAGACAACATTCAAAAAAGCGCAAAAGCTTTTCAGAGTGTTTATCATGATGATATTGAAGAAGAATTCGCAGATGAATTTCTGCAATTTAATGATTTGGCTGTGAATGATTTAAAACTTGTTGAAAAGTTAAAAATGATAAAAACATTGGGTATTGGACATACTTTTCCAAATGTAGAGACAACTTTGAGAATAATGCTCTCAATTCCAATAACTATCTGCACTAGTGAACATTCATTTTCTGCATTGAAAAGAATAAAAAATCGGTTGAGATCAACTCTTTCAAACAATAAATTAAGTGGTTTAGCCCTTTTAGCAATAGAGAGTGATATTACAAATAGGTTATAATTTGCAGATATTATTGAACATTTCGCGAATTTGAAAGTGAGAAAAAACCTATGTAATGGTAACCTATGAGTTTTCTTTTTTTCTTTTTAAAATTCTTTTTTCTCTATCATGTCTGCTCAATTTAATTTGACTCTGTTTTTTATTGCTGAACTAAACACACAAGACTTTTAAATATCTATTAGTACAAAAAATATTTTTGTTTCATGTTTGAAAATTATTTGGTATGATTTTTCTGGTGCAGTAACAATAATTTATGCGGAATTAGAATTTTGTGTTGTTTTGCCACTAGTAAACAAATTGGTGTAAAAAAAGAGACTGATCTTGCAAAGAACCTTTTGTATAACAACAAGTAATTTTATAATTTAAGTTAGTGAAATATTTAAATTTCGTTAGCATATGTGCTAGTTACTCCCTCATGTTTTTGTTACTATAAAGCACGTAAAGAAGGGTCCAACATGATTGCATAAGATCTCTGTATTCCTTTCTAAGGTTCTAATAGTTTTCACATGGTTCTTGTTTTTTTTTAAATGTATTGTTTATGGGCGAAAAATATCAAAAGTTTCTTTTGCTCAAGTTAGGGGGGCCCCAAAATCCTACTATGCTTCCCCTATTTTCAGAGGTTAATCGGGCCCAAACAGAGATCCCCACATGGGTGATCTTTGGATGTGATGTGAACACAGCTAGCTTGATAGAAATTCCCACTTTGATTTGAACACGCCAAATTCGATGAATGGTCTCCATTAAACAGTTGACTAGCTACTTGTGACATTATCTACCACCTTGCATCGTTGTTACTCAGTCTCGATCACACGCAACGTCGGCCAGTATACACTCGACTGCTAATGGCAATACGCACAACCATGAACTTAATACAGCTGTCACGATCAACATTTAAAAGTATGGTGATCTAAATACAGCTCTCCCAAAACAGCAATGAATCAACTAGTCGTATCCGTTCATCGAATTCCATCACAAATATAATTCTGGTAAGGCCGGGATAGCCGGGTCGGTAGGGCGCTGGGCCCATGTCCGAGAATTCGAACCCTGCCGGCCGAAGATTCCCCGTGTAGTAAAGTGACTGATGCACATTAAATCTGCCGAGTCGCAAAAGTCCTCCATGTTCCCATAACAAATCAACACCTCTGGGGGTAATGGATTTTAGATCGATCATTCTTTGACTCAGTTCAAAATTATGATCTGTGGCTGAATGAAAGGGTCTGTCCTACAAACGGGTGCGACATATAGTGCGGCAGAAGTCGAATTCTTAGCCATAGATGGCGCCACAGGAAAACAAGAACAATCGCACCCCCTCTGCCTAAAACAGGCATATGTCAACAACAACAGCATATAATTCTGGTGGGGGAGTGCTGTAGTGTGCCTACCACTACAAAAATACAATTCCAATTCACTAGTATATAAGACAGGTAAACTCGATTCTATGTTGAGGTATCTTTTCATAGATGAAGGTTGACATTTTCGACAACCACTTTCCCCACAAAGACAAAACTAGAAAATCCTCAGTAGTCACAGATGAATTAAAATAAACCTAAAAAAACAGAATAAGATAAACAAGACTGAGAGGGACAAATTAGGGTAGAAGGCATTTCCACATACTATACAGAGGTGGTGAGGAACTAATGTCATTAACAAGAGAATTGGCAGTCACATGAATAAAACAAAATTAAAAGGCATCTAGATGAGCTGATGTGAAAATAATTTTGGCATTGTTGAAATTGGCCAATATTAGTTGTATACTGGGTGAATCAGACAGTTCTATATAGGACCGAAATCGGAAAAATAACGGCTCTTTAAACTCTTATTGGGCCACGATTTAGTTTGGACCACGATTAGCCAATGAGGTCCCAGAGTTTGCTGACGGTGTTGTTAGTGCGACTTTGGATGTTCTCTGATGTATTGACGTTTTTAACAAGAGCATTGTCCAGGATGGTGGATCAAAGGTTTCAAGAGCGTGTGAAGAGCAATTCTCCCAATCACACATCGATGAACGTCAAATCTCTCAGTTATTGAACTTTCCTTTAATTATGCATTCTCTGATGTTTATTTCCTATAAATAATCAATTCAGCTGTTTGTTGTTTTTTAACTGCTTTTTTTAAAAGACATCCACATTTTTAATTATCTAGAAATAATCATTGCTGTTTTAAAATACAAAAAAACATGTTAGTTTTTAAAAAAAAATGGAACTTACTGTAGAAGAATTTTTAATGTTTTCTTTTAATCATGTTTTCCGATACCCCCCAAAAATGGCAATGCAAACATTGGATCGGCAATGAATGCTATTTTCTCATGCATCTCCAAGTTCTAATTTTATTATATCTAAAAGTTTGACATATTATTCAATTTAATAAAACTACATACTTTTTTAATTCCTTAATATGAGTCATATTAAAATTTTCATCCCATCCACAATCAAGCAAAAATTTGAACTCGTCCACTTGTAACAAGTAACAATGTGGATCTTCACTATAAACTCCAGACAAAGGAAGTAATTTGATAATTGAGGTCATCCTGAAGAATATATTTCTGAAAAGAAGAACAGAATTGAAATTATATCAATAGAAAATTCATTATTCAAAAGTAAATAAAACTTAAATATGATAATATTTTAAATGGATTACATTTTCTCAAAAGGAAGTTTAACAAGTAGATTAATTAAATAAGCAGTATGCATATTGAAGACTGTAAATTAATATTTAAATGAAGAAATTAGAAAGCTTTTTAGAAAAAGAAAAGCATTTTTTTGTACTTTCACCACGGAAATAATCAATTAAGCTAGAGATTAGTAAAAAAAGCAATATTTTTTTTAAAATGAAAGAACTATTAAATCAAAGTATCAGAACATATTTTAAGAGATGACTAGGTGGCAATAGAAACTATGAGCTAAACACATTAGTCACATTCGCGTATACATATTTGTCAAATTTTCCTTTTTACATAAAATGTCAAACCAATTTTTTTTAAATAGATAAAATCAATTAATAAGGAGAATGACTGACTATTCAATAATATTTTCTAGGTAATTATTTAAAAAATACATGAAGAAAAACTAGTAGGGTGACCCGGGGTAATTCAGGATCACTCTGTTTCTGGGGTAAATAATGATCACCTAAGTTTTATTTTAAAAAAATTATTTTTTTTTAAATTTGAGACATGGACAAGAATGCTTGTACACTTTACTAAAGTATAACTACATTTACTTAATAATAGTTTTTTGTTTAATCTAACAAAATAAGTATCTTTTAAACTGCTTTCTGTATTTTCCATTTCAAAGATGGGTTTCAAAATGTGCACATTTCTGCAAAGATCCCCTTCCTTCTCTTAATAATAAATATTTTGAGTTATTTTCTTTTTCTTTGATATAAAAGTAGTGTAAGCTTTTGTTTAATTGTTTCACATCAACTGTACACTTTATAATTGATTATAGGAAACTATATCAAATGTTGTCCCCTACAGATGGGGTAATTATTGATCACTGGGGTAATTCCTGATCATTGTAATTTCTTCTTATAAATAGTATATAAAATAGGTCATAAATAGCTAATTGTCTTTTCGTAAATAACAGTTCATATTTATTAAGTGGAATTTTTGTTTTAACAAAATTTGTTTTTAACTGTATACAAGACTGTATTCTGATTTACACCATTTTTGGTTTGTCATCTTGCTTCTATCTTAATTTTATGTGTGTACATTGTTAGAATAATTTTTAAGTTTATAAATTAGCTTAGTATAAATATGGTGAGAAATTATTAGCCTAAAAAGGATACTAAGCTTCTAGAAAGCAAAATTAGTGAATTTCTTTTAATGATTGAAAATGAAAATTTCAATGTGAGAGCTGCTGCCAGAGGTGTTGAGTCGAGATACCTTACTTAACTTTACACTTTCCCTTAATAAAGTTAAAAAATCCAGGAAAAGTAACCCATATGGGAACTTTCTTATATTTCAGAAGAACATGAGAATGAGTTGGCTGATTGCCTAAAATGTATGGCAGGATGCAAAGATTTTTGAAAATTTAAAGCGTTAATCGTTCTTTTTTGCTTTTAAATAAATCGTTTCATTAGCTGCTTAAACATATCTTTTTGGTATATATTTTTTTTTATCTTGATGTCGTATTTGCTAATTACCATTATATAATTATTTTCAAACAGCCCCTTTACAATAAAAACTGGTGATCAGTAATTACCCCAGAAATGATCAAGACCAGGGGAAATTCCTGATCATTAAAAATTTAAATTCTAATTAGATTTTCAAATAAGAGTTGGTATAGGACTCATCTCATATAGCTTCAAACTTCCAGTAAATATTAAAATTCTATTTTGAATAGATTTTTCACAAAATAGATGTCTGCTTTTATTCATCAGGAATTACTCCAGGTCACCCTAGACAAAAATACTCTGCTAAATTGTCCAAAATGCATTTAAATTATATTCAAAAATTTTAAACTGCATGCAATAAAAAAAAACTATATTTATGATTTTTTTCATACAAGATTATGCAATTTTTTTAATCTCTCTATATTATAGAAAGTTAATGTCATTGTTACCACATCAAAACTATTTGATAAAACTTTGAAAATTTTTAGAAAAAAAACAAAGAAACATTCTAATAAGAAAATTTTATTGATCTGTCTTAAGATATCAACGTTGATATAGGTTAGATTCCATTTCCATTGTAAAAATACTGGTAAGCAGCACTTCTAAATGGATATTTCAGATTTAAAAAAATATTTTTAACTTCAGATGAACATTTTGTTTTGGTAACCCTTGCTACACATTAAATTTATCCTTTTTTTCCCGGTAGTACAGTTTTCTTTCATTTTTTTAAAATATTAACTGATAATATATACCTATCATATTAAAAAAAAAAAATACTTTTGGTATTGGAAAATCAGCATTGGAATTTTTAAGTTTCTGGTGCAACTAAATATTTCCTAGGCTATTTACCATTCAAAATTACAGAGAAATGTGAAAAATTCCAGTTTAGTTCTCTATCTTCTTATAAATAAAAAAAAAATTCGAGGTTTGGGTGGCCTTGAGTTGGGCACCTTATGTTTTGTTTTCAAGTACTTGGCGATTATTCTGCATCAGATCACGATATGGAAATTTCCCCAAAGTATCATTAAGTAATTAATTTAGTGTGGTGATGGTATAAACTTTCAAGCGGTAAACAAATCGAAATATATATGTAATCAACACGTGACATATTTTGAGTTTAAGTTCCAACCATTCTTCATTAAACAATCAAAGGAATCGAGATATTTGTAGTCTATAAAGTAGATAGCGTCATTTACTCTCTTTACGGCCACTTTTAAAGATACAATGTAACTAATGTTTACCTAAAATACGCCAACACTCGGTATTAATAGTTATTTCTTAAGCCTTCCGATGAGGTGATAACAGAATACGAAATGTTTTTAACATTTTTAATATATGTTTAACCCATGAATTTAATAAACATGCTTAATGACTTCGAATAATATCGAGATATGCAGTTCACCACACAGCGATTCACAAATCACACACGTATGAAAAAATAATTTCGGCTTCTGAAAACATCAAAAAATTGAAAGTGATGCCCAAAAGAACGTTGCCATTTTCTAAAGAAATGATATATGAATGGTTGACCATGCAAAGATGACACAGATGACGCTAGTGATCAAAATTCGTCATAAGACTTCTGGGAGAAATTTTCTTTCAACGAAAAAAATAACAAATAAATTGGGAAGACTCAGCAAACATGCTATGATGCTACCCAAAATTTAACAAACAGAGATATTTTATAGCAATACAGCAAATAAGGGATAACACTGAAAACATGGCAAACAATACACCTTATTTATGAGGTGCTATTAATTTTGTTAAATTCGTTTTAGGCTCACGAACTGCTAGAATTTATAAATTACAGAAAACGCTTACAAATGGTAAAATTACCCTCAAATTTGAACACAAATCACAATAACAAAACTTTCTTGAATATTAAGTTTGTTCACACATCGCCTCGTAAGCATAACTTAAGCGGAAAGATGCACCGGAAGTTTTCAGAATTTCTTCTGGTTTTAGAAAGCTTGTTTATGTCCACGTTCAGCCAAATATCTACAGGCGAGTTTTTAGAGGGTAAATATTTTCTACAAATCTCGCATGGATGGTTAATTGTGTAAAACGAAGCACAGAGAGCGATAGGGGTTAAAATTCTTCTTAAGACTTCCGGGTTACCATTTTCGATTGATTTTTAAGCCTAATCTTGAAAAAGCACGATATTCAATTTTATTATACGTGTATAGTTTACAATAAAACGCGTTGTTTTAGTTTAAATTCCAACGAATCAAACAACATATGAATTTGGAAGACTCCGCTAGCATGCTATGATACTTTTTAAAAAATAACAATCATTAATACTTTACTCTTTTATAGCCAATAAGGGATAAAGCTCAAAACATGGCAAACCTTACACTTTACTTATGTTGTGTGATATTAATTTGGTTAAATTTGTTTTAGGCTCACGACACGTTGGAATTTATAAATTATGGAGAATTCTTATGAATGGTAAAATTACGAGTACATTTAAACACAAATCACACATTAAAACTTCCTAGAATATTGGCCTGATCACACATCTCCACTTAAGCATAACATAAGCGAAGGTATGCAACCGTAAGTATTCTAAATTTCTGCCAGTCTTAGGAATCTTGTTATTGTTAATGTTCAGTCAACCATCCAAAGGCGAGTTTTTTGCGTTTAACTGATCTTGTGGTGAACGAAATTTGCTACAGGTGACGTAGAGTAGAACCCTCTATCCATGGTTGTCTCTGTCTTGAACTTGATTTTCAATAAGATTAAAAGATTTTTAAGTTAGGAAGCTGTATATATGGAACTAAAAACTACATTGAACATAGTTTTAAAAGAAAGCATCTTGCAGATAAAAAATTTTTTTTGACAAAATTAATACGAAAAATAGTAAGAAAGGGGAAAATATCGTATTAAATTGCTATGCAACTGAGAGAAAAGGGGGAGATGGATTTTATCCAGATAGCGTAATCGAGCATTGCTAGTCTAGATCCCTAGAGTGTGCCAAGATAACCTCATTTCCAATATAACCTCTCACTATGGATGGACAACGTAGTGGCCGACCGCCAGCACTTAATGACCGAGACTGCTGACGCGTGCGTCGAAAGGTGGCTAGCTTTATAAAGTATGATTTGAGGACAAATCAGTGGAGCATCCTTGACATATTTTACGATGTGAGAGCATTGGACAATTCAACACATTTACGAAAAATATTGATTTCTGTGTGCCACAAAGATTTTTTTTAAAAATTGATAGCTAGTACCATGTGCAGAACTATCTTCATCAACTTTGATTTCATCACTGAGCAGTTTTGAAACATCACTTTTTGTTTATTGTCTTTGTAAGACAAAATGTAAGCATTTTGGATTTTTTTCGTATTCACAGCAATATTTTCGGAGAAATTTGAGGACACATGTTCAAATTTTGGAGCATTTTCTGATTTCAAAGAGTTTAGAAATTTTTGAGGACAATCAGTGAAATTCGAGGACTGTTCTGAATATTAAAGAACGCCAGGTCACCTTAGTGCTAGCAGATAAATAAAATTACTTGAAATAACAGCAAGCATCCATGTGGTTCGTGAAATGCATGTGTCCGTTTAAACAATGTGGCGAAATAAAGGATATGCCGGCAGAAGATCGACTAGAGTGCTTTTACTAAGAGCACGACACCTCGTCCAGCGCCCCTCTCGGGTTCTGAATGCATATGGGTTAAACCCTAGATCACAGGCTGTTGTTGTTAATTTACGTTGCACTAGAGCTGCACAATAGGCTATTGGCGACGGTCTGGGAATCATCCCGGAGGATGATCCGAAGACATGCCATCACAATTTTGATCCTCTGCGGAGGGGATGGCACCCCCGCTTCGGTAGCCCAACGACCTGCTCGCGAAGTCGAGCACTTTACGGTAGCACAGTTTAACGAGGACCAATACCGCACATCCTTGGTCCCTACGCAGACTGATCCAATTGGTCAACCACCCGTACACTGACCGCAGCCAGTGATGCTTGACTTCGGTGATCTGCTGGGAACCGTGTCTTAACGATCAGTCCACTGCGGGACCTAGATCACAGGTAGACTGTATTTTGGTTAAATTAGTCATGATTTCAGCTAGTCAACAGCAGTTCTGATGGGAGAGTTGGAGTGTGGCGCAAATCCCACGTAGCCATGGGCCCAAGTTGTCAGGAAGGCATTGTGCATTCAGGTGGTGGCTGCATAAAGGTGTTGGCTCATTTTTCTTAGCATTCACTGGGTCTTATGGTCCTTTCCTGGATCGTTTTTTGTTCTTTCTTTCTTAAAATATAACTATTTGTCATTATTTGTTTATACTACATTTCATTCCTGTCACCATGTCATTTTTTTAAAAATAAAATAAAACTGTAGTTTTATTTAAAGATTTATTTAAGATTAAAATTAATTTAATGTTTGAATTTTCAACGTGTCATTTTTTGTAATAATTATAATAAGAAAAGGAAATAATCTAAAAATAATCAATTTACTTACTTCCATAAATTTTCCTCCCCTTCTTCTCTCACTGAAATTAAAAAAGAAATACTTACGTAACTTCAGTTTTTTCAGTATCTGAAATTTTAACTAACGAAAAAACTTGAAACAAAACCAAAATTCATAGACACTTTTTTAGGAGGTGAAACAAGAAAAGCATTTAATATTTCAAAATTTGACAATAATTTTTCATATTGCAGAAAAAAAATACATTTGCGTTGGCACATCAGCTATTAAATACAGAAACAAATTTCTTAAACTCAAGGAAGATATTAATACTCACAATCTAGAGATAGAGCTTGCTTGCAAAAAATTGAGTAGAAGATCGGAATCAGGTTGCAGATATTGATGAATAAGTCATAAAAAACTACACCATGCACTTACATAACTTGTTTTCGCAAAAAATATACAGGGCATTACAAGGGAAAACATCGAACAAAATTCTTTTCTGAATTTTTTTACGATAATGTAAATGTTCTTTAACTAAAATTTAGATATTAAGTAAAGGAAATTTGTACCTTTATCATTAATTTACTATTATGTTATTTCAAACACGATAAAAATAATGCGTACGTATATACCATTTTGTAATATTGTTTATTACATTTTATATTGTATTTGCATACCTTCAGTAAGGAATAGAAAGTAGTTTATACTTCAAACAGCTTGAATCAAAAGTGCCTTGTTAGTGAAAAATAAAGCTTTGCAATACACTCGTAATTTATATTCTATTTGTTAAAATTCGCATATGAGAGACGGGAGAGTCTCCAGAGGGCGTGTCAACAGGTGATGAATCGGGGAAAGCCTCAATCAGTTCTGATGGGTGGTAGGAGAGAAATAATATGCAGACCAACAGGCAGAAGTCCAACTTTTCAGAGGATTCCATGGATAATTCAAAGACTAGGAGCATCCTCGGACTCATGATAAAATTTTCATAAACTTCAAAACAAACTTTTGGTATAGTTATTAAGAATAAAAAATGTAATATTCATGTGGTAAAAAAAATTCCAGCTATCTGCAACTTCTGTTCGATGTTTTTGCTTTGTGAGGCTAAGACTAGTAAATTTTTTAAATTTAGTTTAAGATATTGATCGTTCTTTTCAATTTTTGTTTGAGTCATCTTGGAGTTCTAAACGGCTTAGTTTTTCTCTTCGTTCTTTTGTTTGACAGGTAGTTATAAAAAAGATTTTAATGACTAATTTTCTTGTTTAGACATCTTAGTCCGAGTGGCGAGACCATAAAATTAGGCTTTTACCTGCGGTATGTCTAGTCTGTAATGGGCTTGGATATAAAATCTTCACACTCGGTCAGGTTTGAACCCTCGAAATTGAGCTCGAACTCTTCTGTGATTAGTAATCGAAATGGGCTACAGGTGATGTAGAGCAGAACTATCTACTTATGGCGGCAACACTTCTCAAATTTTCACCATTAGCATTGGAGAGTCATAAGAGAGGGAACTAACTTAATTTCTGTCTTGATTTTCAAATAATTCAAAATCTTTAAAGTTATGAAACTATATTGAAATGAAAATTACATTAAACATAATTCTAATAGAAAGCATTGTGGGAATTTTGAAATTTTCTTCTTGACAGTTAAATTAAATACGAGAAATATTAAGAAAGGGGAAAATATCGCAGTGCATTCCTATGCAACTGAGAAGAGGAGGAGAGGGAAGAGTCCAGACATGGAACCGGTCTTCTCCCCAGATGGCGCATTCGAGCTTTGCGATCTCGAATGAAATTCCCCGTTTCTATCCTCACACCAAAGATCTTTTCTATCCTCACTCTTAACTGTTTTTTCCCCATGATATTTGAAATTACGAGTAGGGCTAAAGAGAAGAAAGAAGGGCTAGTAGTTCATTCCGCTCTTAGAGCTGAAGCTACGATTTCCCTCCTCATAACGTCACGCTGCACACAGATCTCTGAGATCGCAAGCAAAGATATTATGAAAACTTTGTATCATTCTCTATGTAAAAATAAGTTCGACTTTTACTTGATATTAGCTTTCAAACTTTATGCAATTAACATATTATTTCCTTTCAAAAGTATAGAAAAGTATTCCTTTCAAAAGAATTTTCTTGGCCAAAATATTGAATTAAATATCATTTTAAACTACTAAAAATATTTTGCTAGTTGTCGTAAATGGCGCTATAAATACTTTGTTTTAAAATTTTCAGTTTTAACTTTTATTATTAAAAAAAAAATTAATGCACATATCGGCACTTTTTTAGCTACATATTGTTCGATAACAATAATTTGCAAATTTGGGTCAAATTTGGAATCCTGATTTTAAAATATGCTGTTATGGCAATTTGTTTATGCTTAATCATTAGGAAACAACATTAAAAGCTAATTATTCTAACAAAATAATAATTTAGGTTCATTAAAATATTGGAAATTTTGCAATTGCTTATAGATATTTAAATTTAAGAGAATATAATATATATATTATATTCATTTAAATTTGAATATCTATAAGCAATATAAGAATATAATTATATTAAAAAAATAAAAGAATGTAATTATATTTGTCGACGCTCAGGTAAATATGAACTCGCTCAATAAACAGAAAATAAGCGGACTGTAAATTCACAATATTTATTTATTATTATTTGGAAGAGAGCTTTTTTGTAGCTCGTTACAGCTCTCCTTCCACACACACTCTTTCTCTCTCTGTGTTACAAGTTATACTAGGTGGCGCTACAAATCCGTGCGGATACAATATTAAAAAAATAATTATAATAATTATAATTAAAAAAATAAATATTTGGAATAACTACATTGAAAGCTACGTTATGAAATTAGGAGAATTTTAACTATTAATTATCTATACTTTTCATTTAAGTTTTTATTTTCTTTGACTTATTCATCTTTTGATTTTTTCGTCTGTCTTTCTTTTTGAAGTAGCTGGGCGGTTTCAATTTAGATGGCGAATTCTTGTAAAAGTTCTGAAATGCAAAATAAGCGTATTGCTGTTTTATTCACTGCGGGATATCGTCCCTCTAATTCATTTATAAGTTCGTTGATGACACTTTTTGATATTCTGTCCCATGCACACTTTGAAAAATGTTCTCAAATTCCTGACACACTTCCACTGAAGGAACAATTAATCCTCCCTTACATAAGAGAGCACTTGGTAGAGTTAAAGCAATTTTAAAATCATTCTAATCGGAAATCCAAGCAAACTATTTCTCATATCATCTTCATAATTTTGTTTTAAGAAATGCTTACTGCATATTCGTTCATATTTAATATTAACTGGATCATTTCGTTTGCAATGTTGAAGCCATTCCTTACATAGTTTTTCATTTACTTTAGGGAACACGTGGAAAATTATATTTTTCCTTTTGTGTTTCTATCCGAAATTTTGTAAGTAGCAATCGCACAAACTGGCATTTCATAAATAATTTTAAATTTTTGTAATTCTCTTCACAAAACTGAGAAAATCATTATAGGAGACAAAGAATGTGTTGGAAGATGTCACAAAAATGAATGCTCCAATATTAGTTGAAGTTAGTTAGACCGAACGCTTCGTTCTTGAAGTAAGACCTCAAGCTTTGCGCCACCGTCGTCACAGGCGAAAATCGGAGGTTTGGCGAGGAGGGGGTTTCTTCAAAGGAGTGAACCAGCCCTTCTATTCACTTTAGCCCTGTGAGCAAGGTATGGTTCCCGCCAAGGAAATATTGAAGCTCTCTTGAAATAGTTATTTTTTTATTTTTAAAAAATATAATTAAGACAAAAATATAACCCATTTTTATATACAAGAAATATTTATTGAAAAATTGCAATTTCAGAAGGGACTGTAATTTCAGAAGGACTTCATCGATAAAATATCAGGGGCCCCCTTTTCCCTCTTACTCCATGGTCCCTGTCATTAACTTTTCTCTGGTATCTCGAACAGTTTAAAAAAATAAAAATAATGTAACGCCTTTGTATTATTATACTTTTCTGTGGAATTTCTTACCGTTTACAAGATAATAATAATAGTCTAACATCGTATTTAACTTTCCTCTTATATCCTCCATATTTTACATGATAATAAGTCTAATTTTATAGTTTTTCTCTGGTATCTCTAACAATTTACAAAATAATAAGTATAGCTTGGTAGTTGACTTTTATCTGGCATCTCTTTCCATTCATAGTTAACTTTCATTCAACAGTGGCATCATAGTCAACTTTCTTTCTGCCATTTCCTATTGTTAACAAGATCTGGTATCCAATTTAACTTTTCGCCGGTATTTCCGACCATTTACAAGTTAATTTCTTTGGCACCGATTTTTTTTTGTAGGCGGCTATTAGAGTGATCTTAGGAAGCTTACACCACCTTTAACTTACATAGACGCTATATTTATCTCGATTACTTTTGGCCTTAGAAAATTTAAGAGCATAAGTCGAAAACACAGCATAATGAGTATACTTAAAGCTACTTCAAAGCATCCATCACACATTAAAAACTCATTGAAAAGGTAAAAGGATTTATTGAAAATATTCTTAAAACATGGAAGCACATAAAAAAACATCACAACCAAAATATGTACAAATGTTACACCAATAATCAACATAAAAATATTTAATAAAATAACAAACGATAACAACAATAGTGTGTTCGAAGAAATTACAACGTTTCAATTTTATTGAGGTAATGAAAAGTTAATAATTCGAGATTGGCAATAATTCACCAAGATTGCATCATCCAATAAATTAAAAGTATATACACTTAAAGTTTTCATGGGTAGGATATGGACGAAAGAAAAAAAGTTAATATTTTTTTAGGTTTATTACCGCATAAATAGAAATAACAAATAATAAATTAAGTCTCATCTAGAAAAAAAAATATTTACTGGTATTCACCCTTTGATCACAATAGTATACTTTTGAATGGAAAAATAATTTTTTCAAGACGTTCACCATTTTGACTTAATAGCATTTTGTATCATTTTGAAGGAAAAAAGAAGTTTGATGGCATCATATGAACGCAATAGTGTTTAGTATCATTTTGAAAAGAAAAGTCATTGTTTTAAAATAATAAAATGAGTTTAAGATAATTTTGTTATGAAGCGATCATCGATGAGTAAGAAGACGCTTCTATCGATCAAAATATAATATTTAAAAATCTATATCAACCAAAATTTACTATTTAAAAATCTATATTTATACTTTAATTATCCTCTTGTTATTTTTATGGTGTCATTTTGAATAATGGTAGTATTTTTATAATAAATTTCTAGCAATTTCAGTTTTAGCTACTGCAGTGTAACTTTAATTGCTTAAACTCGATACAGTTTGCCGAGCGGTATGTTGTCTTAAGAAAATTCTATGTTTTACTGCAGTAACGTTGTTTGTAATTTTCAAATTTTTTTAAAAAAGATTGTCGAATATTTGCTTTAAGCTAAAGTGGTAGATAACAGAAGAAAATACCCGCTTCATTTGAAACAACTCTCCAGAACTTTACTCTAAAAGCAAGGCCGTTTTTCGTAGTTCTTTCACCAATTTAAATGAAAAAGACACAGTTTAAGCGCCCTAAGAAAAGTTTCAATTTTAAATTATACATTCCAAGGAAATGACCGTGTTTCTTTTAAAACAGACAAATAGCTTAAATATGTAAAATATTATTAAAGTGACGTCAAATGGAAAAATGTTTGGGAAGCCCTGGTTTTAAAATATGTACTTAACACATTTAGTGCAATGCATATTATTACTCATAAATACGATACAATATTTAAAAAAAATTAGTAACTTTTTCCTTTTTTGATTGTTAAATAAGAAATGATAAAATTCAATTTTTTGCATTTTGTCATATTGCAGAATATTTTTATAATGTTCTCATTTTGATAGTGAAACCAAATCCCCTAGACTCCAATAATGAAATATTTATAGGCCATAAAACTGTCCATAAAACTGTTGAATATATTTTTTCATTGTCATTTAAAACTTCGGTAAATGTAATTATATTTTTACATCAACAATCCACTTTTTAATAGAAACAAAATAAAAATAAAAATTCTTACTTTTCAATCTATTGGGGGTCTCAGAAGTGAATGAGTAGAATTTGCCTCTAAAGTCAAGTCAATTATTTAATTGTTCGACGATTGATAACAAAAATAAAGCCATAAATTTTTAAATAAATAATAGTTTTCATAGAATATACAACATTTAGAGAAATTAAAACCAAATCAAAATTTTCGTGTTACAAAAGTTTTTTCTCTCTCCGTTTTTGTTGTTAGGTCTTTGAGAAAGATATGCCTGTCATTTCAATTTTTTTTAAAAGAATATATGAGGTAATAAAAATATGTATGGAATATAAAAACTACAGATAATCTGAAAATCAGAAAAAATTGACCACAATGAAAAGTTAATATAAGTGTATTTTTAAATATTTGCATATTAATGTTTCAATTTATAGAAATTCAATTTAGTTTAAACGAAAAATACATAAAAATATTATATTATTTGTTTATTTTCTATTTATTTCTATTTCGATTTAAAGTTTTTTTAAAATGTAATATTCTTTTTCCTTGGTATGATTTTTTTTCTCTTTGTTTTTTTGCTTTCTTTCAGCAAATGATATTAATTCTTTCTAAATGGGACTTCGAGACATGAATTACACTTCGTTAATCAGTTATTTAAAGAAACTCCTGTTTTGCATTCCTGTTTCTCTCTTGGTCTATATCAATTTAATTACAGAATTTTTTTAATTTATTTGATGACGAATTTCTTGGGGAGCTGTTTAGCGCTTTCCCTAATTTAAATTTGCTATTGTTTTTACTCTTACAGCTTCAAACAGATTTTTTTCCCAGCTTTTTTATTTAAAAATGTGATTGGATATTTCCTTAGCTTAACTTTTGTGATAATTAATTCTACTTTAATACACTAAATAATGTTTTAATAGCACATTTTAAGTCTTTATTTTTATTGAAACTACACTATCTTTCAAAAAAAATTTTTTGTAGACTTTACTTAACGGTGATTAGATTTCCTGAAAACCACTTTACTAAAGAAGATATTGAAACAACATTAGAAAAATAACGCTTGTGGATGAAGTTGCAACTACTATTACCTTGTAAATTTTTATAACAGTATTCAGGGGAAGTTTATTTTTGTGTTTTATTTCTTTACTTATTAATAGCACTATTATTATATTAGCCCTCATCAATTAGCATATCTGAGGGTTAAATTCTTCAAACTACTAAGATTGACAATTAGTCAGTTAAAACAAAATCATTAGAACAAAAGTTATTAAATATTATTTTTTCTTCTTTTTTCTTTTTGTTTAGATATACGTTACAAGTTGATGGAGGTTGTTTAACCAGCAGATTGAATTTTTTCTTAAAAGGTATTAAAAGGTACGTTTGATATTGATTTTTTTATTTTACTCGATAATGATCCGTCTCATTTTGATAATGTCTTTGGGTTTGGATTAAATATGATTCCTGAGGTCTATATTTTGTTTGCATTGGTTTTTGAAAAGGATATTAAAATTTATTTACTTGGGTCAGTGATTACCATTTTCCCGAAAAAGTCAATTAAGAAAAAAGAAGAAAAAAAAGAGGCATTTCAGACTGAATGACCTAACAAACAAGTACAAGTTTGTACTTCGTAATACAGCTTATGAAGCGAGTTTTCACACACACACATGTGCATAGTTTCTGACAATAACAAACACAACACTATATTTTACATTGTTTGCAAATAAGTGATAAAATATGTAAAATAAAACAATTCAAATATGCAAAGTTCTAAACTCTTGGTATTTGGCATATCAGAAAGTGAAACAAAAAAAGAAGCCAACTATGAGCTGGATTCACCCAGACTGTTCTGAGATCTGACCTTACGCTTTCTACAGTCCACATTGTACCACCAATCACAGATTCTCTTCTTCTGATTGAAGATAGTGCCATTCGGGCATAAGAAGCTGTGGCGCGGAGAAAGATTACCGCCTGGACACATGTGCCATGCCTGCAAAATATAAAACCAGTACTGCACAAAACAAAATAGCAATTATATGGAATAAACAGACAATCCGTAATTACAATTTAAAAATTAAGAGCCGTGGTGGCTCAGGAGATAGAGCGCTCGTTTTCCAATGAGATGAATCGTGTTCGAAGCCCAGCGATGACTGGGAGATGCAAATTCCGCACTCGGCTCACATCGACTACAGTGCTTACTTAAAATATCCTCAGAGGTAGATGGATCATGGGTTAGAGTACCCTTGCTGTTAGGCTAGCAGTGGGAGTTTTTCATGATTTACTTCTTCGAGTAACGCAAATATGGGTGAGTTCGATCAAAAAGTCCACCTCGAAGGTAAATTTCTTCCAATATTTGATCCCCCTTTTTTTCTGGATTGGGTTCAAAATTACAAGACAACGGAGTTGAACATTGATTGTTGTGAACTCAAAATTGAGTTAACGACGGTTATAAAATAAAATAAAACTTCAAAACTAAGCGTTTTTTACAGATTCAGCAATTAAGAACTAAATGCTATTTAAGATGCAGTGATTTTTGTTATTTACAGACAATGTCATCAGTAGCTAATTGTAGTTTTTTTTAATTGGCATCGGTCATTTACTTAGACTTAAAACAGTTAATTATCTTCCACATTTTGTTTGTGTTACTTAAATATTTCTGGGAAAGGAAAGGTATTCCCTCAGCAGTGAGTTGTGAGTGACTGCATTTACTTCTCAGGCGAAGTTACTACCTTCAGTGCTTTACAATGAATTACCTGAGAGATAATCACAGCTCCAAATTTTTTTTGGTTTGAACTCTGAGTTATAGAAAGTTTATTCTTTTGTTTTTCTCCTTTAAACGTAACCTGAGTTTTTTATTTTTTTGAAACACGTAAAATCTGTCATTTTAGTGTCTAAGTTTTTGACTCTACTGCGCTTTTGAAGCTGAATGATTTTTTTTCAAATACTGTGTTTAAGGCTTATAATGATCTAGAAAATGAAAGGGCAAAAACGAATAGTAATTAAATTTGGCAAAATATTTCGGGGATGAATCTTTAAAAAATAATGTTTAAGCTCTTAAAAATAAAAATTAAAAAACTGCTTGCATTGCTAGAAAATCTTTAAGAAACTGGGCTTTCATGACTTTTTCTAGCAATTAACGCGGTTTCCATCTTTTTAGATAGTATTGCAGAATTGAGCTTAGTAAAGAACACACAGACCTCTTTAGTAATTCTACCAAGAAACTGTTAGTAGCATTACAGGCAAGAGGCATCTAGTAAGTTCACAAAGCTACTTTTAGTAAATATAAAACAAAAAACCCTGCAGCGTTAATGAGAAAGCCTTAGTAGATCTTCACACTCTTCAATGCAAATGTATTTATTTTTTATGGATACACATACATATGCAGTGTCCTCATATATAGCTTGTCAAGTTGAAGAACAGATAGCACAATTCAAAGAAAGACCGAACGAAAATACATTCAGTGTTACGGAAGGATTCGAACCTGCTACCTCCACGCTATAGAGTATTAGGGAGCACTGATCGGCCTGGGAAGCCACTACTTTGCAAAATCCTGTAAACACCATGAAAAAATCTTTTCGTCTTTTGGAAATGAAAGGGAAGAAAAAGTTTTTTCGACGGCGTTGTAAGCATTGTAGCAATTTTTCTACAATAAAACAAGCAAGAATGATGAAACTACGGTACCTGTAATGCTACTAAGCAATTTGCTGTAAATTTATGCAACATTTGCTATTGTGCTTCAGTTAGAAGTTTATTGCTAAAGATCCCCCTTTTGCGAGTTTTTCACGATTTTAAAAACAATTCATTTTAGAAAATAATTAAAAAAAGACAATACAATTTTGCAATACAAGGTTACATCACCAAAAACAAATTTTTTTTCCTTCATATTCTGAAAACTTGTACATTTCGTTTTCAGATTCTTTAAAAGATTATACTTAATATGTTCTTGATCTTAATGAACTATAAAAAAAGATTTCGTACTTGGCAGTCGGTGAAGGGGTCAGCATAGAGGCCTGGCTGCGGCCCACACGTGAAATCTGTCTGGGGAATGTAATTGTAGACAGGGTAGTCTTCTCCAGGGACGCCTCTCCTTGCAAAGGCCGTGTAACGGCTCACCTGTTTTTTCCTCCGGCCTACATACTCATATTCATTGTCATCATCTTCTTTACTATAGCGGTTCATCTGGAATTAAAAAGATTATACTTATATAGCTGACCGATATATTGGAATATGTTAATATTTTAAGCACCGTATTAAGGATATTAAAAAAAAAACGATATATCGTGACTTTTACTCCTTACGATACATATTGCAAACATGATAGTTATCGAAAACGGTAAATATCTAATGCGGTAGTGTCACGAGTCTTATCGATGACGATACTATCGTGATCATAATCAATAAAGATAATCAACGTATATGATATCATCGAGAGAATTGATACATTTCATTTGGGGTATTGTGAAATAAATGTAGAGAAGTATAATTTAAAAAAAAATATCATGATGTATCAAGAAGAATCAATATTTTCAGACGATAAATTGTGGTATTAAAATTTAGATATTACTCAGAACAAAATAAAATCAAACATATCTGTCAAACTTAGGATTATACATTAAACAAACAATGTTTTTCACATTCGTTGAACTATTTCTTGCGTAATAACGCATATAAGAGCAACTATAATATAATTTACAAAGATAAGGACACTATTTAAAAATAAGGTTAGATAGCGAGGAAATGTGTCAAAAGACCTTATAAAGTATAATTTTTATCTCGTGCAGCATTTATAACAATAATTTTAACCTGTATTCTGATTTAAGTCTGAACTTGAAATGTTATTCCATAATAGGTTGCTTTTATCACCACTAAGTGAACAAACTTATCATTTATTACAACTTAGAAAAGCTAAAATGTTTCAACCTAAACCTTATTGAAGAATAAATATTAATTAAAGTGTAATGGAGCATTTCACTTTACTAAGAAAACATTTTGAGCACGAAACAAAACATTTGAAAATCATTATTAAATTCGGTTTATTTAATGCACAATTTTAAATTTTTTTTTTAAACTTTATCAAAAAAAAAAAGAAAGAAAAAAGCGAAATGACAACTTGAAATATGTATGGAGATGAACTCCTGTTTGCTCTATTAGTCACTAGAGATAGAAGTTTATAACCATTTCTTCCATTTGACCATTTTTTTTTCTTTTTTGGAAAAATGAAAGATTTATAATTAGAAGAACAATATCCATCTTTTTGTTTTCTTAGGAATTGAGAATATCATAATCTCTCCAAATCTAAAAACAACTTCCACTCTATCAACACAAAGCATAACACTGTTTTTTATTAATTTTATTTATTTATTTTTTAATAAAATTTGACTAGCCCGAAATTGTTTATTCTCATTGAGAAGTGTTGTCAAAAAGTTTCAATTGAATTGTATCGATCTGATATCATTGCGATGTAAAAAAACAAACTGAACCTGCTAACTTTTGATTGAAAAAAAATCCACCACCTACACTATAGCCTCTCCAAGACATATGTTTGCTTATGCTGATCAACAATTGATAATGATTGAAACTATACAGAGCAAAAGTTAACATTAAAATAGTTAAAAAGCAGTATCCTTTATAACGGATTTATATCACCTTTATTTAAATTTTGAAAATGAAATAAGTTGATAAAAAAAATTCGAAATCTATTTTTGTCCCCAACAAACCTTCTTTTGCAGATTTCAATTAAAGTATTCGCAGCGTGAACTGCAGAAGTGTTGCCAATTTACGATACCTCACAGAGGAGATTTGACCAAGAAATAAAAAAGTTATTCAAGATGTCCACTTTAGCCCCATGTCCCCTACTAATATCAGAATCGATTCTGAAGGTGGTGAATTCATAGTACCGGAATGATCATAGAAAAAAGACAAGACTGAAAGGAAAAAAAAAAATGTTATTGAGCGTTATGTACATACAAATATATTTTTCAGCGTTATTTCCGTGAACATCCAGTCAGGCATTTGGCATAAGATTTTTTAAAGCTGCTCTTCGAAAGACGTAGCAGCCATTTTTGTAGTCAACTTACAAACTTCTTCTGAAATATAGTCAATACCTCGTTACTTTTAGTGTGGGAACTTTACTGGCGAACTTGATCCACACCCACATTCAAAAAGGTTTTGAATAAAAAACTGTCTTCTTTAAACGCGAGGAACTATTAAAAAATATTATTCATATTCACACGATTCAGTTTTTAACCATTTTTTCTTGGGAATTTGCTCTTTAAATGTATGATGCCTTTCTCGACAGTGAATATTTAATTTCAGAATTGTTAGGAACTTATCAAATATTTGTAATTTTGTTCATTGTTTTTATATTTCCGCTAAGAAATGAAGTGCATCAAAAATAGGTTCCAGAGAAAATATGTTCTATTTCACTGAAATAATAATAATATTTCATAAGAGTTCAGTGAAAAAGAAAAAGATTATCTAAAATAACTTTTGATTTATTGCTCAGATCTTCACTTTCTGAGACTCATTCTTAATGGGTTCAAGTTTTCTTTTAATTTAAGTTTAATTCTTAATAGTCCAAGTGTTTGTTGCTCTTTTATTTCCTCTAAAAAATTAAGAAGAAAAACTACAGAGAAAATAGGTTTCCTTCCATTCAACGAGCATCAACGCTTCAAGAGTGCATTCGCATTGAAAGGTATCATAAATTAGCTATCATTCATAATGGCTATTTTTTCAATGAGCCCATAAGCAGATCCGCAAAAATTTGTATCAATCGTATTCGAAAAACTAGTTGCATTAGAACTATGTTTTGGTTACTAAACTAACGTTAAAAGTAGTTGCCAGGAATCGCTACAAACTATTGTTTTTTTTTATCGCACTACTCACTACACTATTTCGTTTTAAAAAGTAGCTCACTACACTACTAAGTAAATTGACTATAAGAGAAGAGAGAGAGAGAAAAAAAACCTCTTTTAACCATGTGTATTACTATACTGCGTTACAAGTTAAGAAAACACCATATGCGGTATAGGATTCAAGTAATCATCCGCTACTGCATATAGCTCCGCTTTATGTCGTTATCAAATGATATAAATATGCTTTCAAAAATGATATAAAAGATTTTAAAAGCTAAACACGTGAGGCAGAAATCTAATGTGTGCTATCTTTTACGATATATATCATAGAACTATTAAAGAAAGATTATGGTTTTGTAGTCAAACTGGAATCCTAGACTTGGCGACACATTTTGATAAATAAGGAAAAAATTTGTTCTTGAAAAAAAAAAACAAAAAAAAACAGTTATATGACGTTGCAAGAGCGTTGGATTTGATTGGACCACTAAAAATGGTCCGTCTTATGCTGACATGCCCTTTACAAATCAAGTGCGAGATAAAGAATTTTTACTTTTGTTTCGCTGTAGAAAAAATCGTCTGCAAGAAACAACATTTATAATTCTTTCATCAGTTTCCTTAAAGGAAATTTGACGTTGTTGATGTAGGATCACGCTGGGAGCTAGGACTCCATTTACCTATATGCCAATACGCTCTCTTCTTCGTATAATAGAGTATAGATCGGAAGTTAAACATGAAGATAACGCTTAGTTATAAATTCCTGTTGTTCTCCATTGTTTTTAATAATTCATAAGTGGTTAAAAAAGAAAGATTCCCGTAAAAAGAAATTTACCTTTCGTCTTCTGGGTATACTGGACAGAAGTTGAAGATCAGTTTTCTTGAAATTTAAAGGAGGTTCTGTGGAGACTATCCTCTGTATGGATGGCTTCGGCACAAATCCGTCCAAACTGTATATGGCAGGCCTCGTGGGCTTTGGCTGACGGAGTTTCAGAAGCAATTGAGGCGTGGGGGTTGTGGGAGTGGGAATACGAAATCTCTTGGCGGGTCGAGCTCGCAATGGCCACACAACAGACAGGCTGTTGTCTGAAGCACTTTCAACGTCATTTGACGTATCACTTGTTGTAGTGCTGAAGAAAAAAAAATCAGTTACGTTAAACGTCATTGCAAGATGAAATGTCAACTTTTGATCCAAATATTCGTTCGGATCTGTAGTAACGAAAGAGCGGTACCAAGTTGGATTAATTCATTGTGCAAAGACATGGTTAAAAAAACAGCACCTTACTTGAGAAAATTAACAGGCAGAAAACTAAAAAGAAGAAAAATAATAAAATAAAAGCAAAATTTTAAAAACTACGTTTTTCAAGCTAGCTAAAAAGGTAAAAAGGGTAAAAAAAGGTATGTAGGAGGGCTCGCCATTTCTGTAATCAACTTTTATCACTATCGAAAATTTCTCCCAGGTCTTTCGAAAGTGTCTTTTTAAGTCAACATTGAAAAACGTAGTTTCTAAGATGCTTATTTTAATTTTATTTTACTGTATTTTATTTGAAACTGCATTGTAAAATACCTTTCATCTGCTGATGTGTAATCTTCTGTGGTGGTCTCCTCTTCAGTACTCGTTCTGAAGATGAGCAATTTAGGGGGTCTCGGAAGTCGTCTCGGAATACGAATGCTCGATTCTGGTTTCAGCAATCTATCCACCTGTACAATCAAAAGATATAAAGACATGTTGACCGAAAGTATTTTTTTGACAAGCACTTTCATTTATCAGAGAGTCGATTGATTAAAAATAGTTACTTACTTGCATCATGATTTGAAGTGAACAAAATTAAATTGTAAGCATGATAAGACATCACCCAATCAGGATCAAGCACCAGACGGTTTTTATAACAATGTAATTTTGAGCCCGGTCAGATATAAGTACGTATGCGCGCCAGTTTGGTCAGCCCTCAAGATAGAACTTACGTAATCATTAAATCATGGTTAGAAGTAAAAATATTTTTACATATTGATTGTAAGTATTCACTGCTGCAAGTCATTATGTTCTGTGATTAAATGTAATACAAATAAAAATTCTGTGCCATTTTGACTTCAAGTATTTATGATTTATTACAATAAATTATCATGTAAGCATGAAAGTAATCAAGTAACCATGATTGAAAATAAGAATAATTAACGAATACAATTGTAATTGCGATATTTTCATAATAAAACCGCGATCACGATTAAAAATAATCATAATTTGAAGTAATTATAATAGATCATGACAAACAATAACAGTAATCATAATTATAGAAAATTTTCATTCTATATAATCTTGATTACTACAAGCAATCGTAATCTACTATTAGAAAGTTAAGATGACTGCAAGTAGTCTATAACTTTTAAAGTAATCATGATTTCAGGCAATTATAATGAATCATTACAAGTTATAAAAATAATTACAATTTTACAATGAAATCTTTATTCTGTAATACCTTGATTACTACTAGCATTCTACTACTATTAGATTACTTCTACTATTAGATGTAAAGATGATTGAAGTAGTCAATCAATTTTAATCTTGATTACATCATACCATAGTTTACGAAAACAATTATAATTCCGATATCAGGCAATAAAAAGTTAGGATTACAATTGTAATTGTGACTATAATCATGATTTACGATTACAAGTAACTGAAAAGTACTAGTATAATTAATATTGATTACTTATACTTACATATAAAAGTAATGAAAATTTATAAATTAAATTTTTGTCATGTCTTAAGGTTATCATGATTAAAAGTAATTATGATCCACGATTCATGGTAGTCGTAATTTACTATTACGAATAATTAAGGTAATCCTGTAATCAGGATTGTAAAGAAATCTAAATTACAGATTTACGGTGTTTTATGTTGCATAAGATTGGATTACAATCATTATAATGTTTAGGCACTTATAATGTATTGGTATATAAAATGTATAGGTATATATAATGTATACGTCTATATAATGTATAGGTATGCTTAATGTATAGATATGTCAAACCCCGCTATAGTGAACCTTCACTATAACCGGTTCACTATAACCGGGAGTTCACTATATCCGTTACGCAGACAATTTAACAAATGGTTCCCAAACTCCTCCCTTTTATTACACATTATTCAAGTAAATGACTGAAAAATATTATGTAGAAGAAAAAATTGTGTTATATTTTATGACTCTTCGTCTTGCGTATAGAAAAAAAAAATGAATAATCTTTTGCTGATGAGCAATCCTCAACATCAGATATGGAAACACTTCCCGACTCACCGACAATTTTTCCTGAATTTCTGTTATTCCGCTTTTTAAACCTGTCTAATCTACCATTCGAGCATATAAAAGTAGACGCACAAAATCGCTTTGCAAATTCATCGACATTTGTCCAGATGCTGGAAAATTGCGGCTTCTTCGAATGCTGAACCACTTCAGTAATGCTTCTTCAACATCCTTGTGATCTGCTTTGCTCAACTTTTTTCGGCCATCTAAATTTTTTTCGTGAGCAGAAATTGTTAATTGCCCATTTTTCCATATGTTGCAAACTGTAGATTTGGATAGTTTATTCCCTGCAAATATCAGCTTGATACATCTATTTTCAATTTTTCTGATTATGCACATTTTATCATCAATGGAGAACGTTTTACGTTTACTGCTCACCATAGTTAAATTTAAGTAACTTGTTTGTAGGTTTCTTTTTAACTGAACTGAAAGCAAAAAGGTGTTGAAATAAGGGCCTTATAAACACAGATTAATGTCTAACCCTTTGACCAAAAATGAATAATTGCTCATTCCATCTGACAGAATATGCATATTGATCCCACTGACACTTTATAGGTGCATCATCTGCCTGGGTTGGAAATATCTGCTTGATTTGTTTAGGGATGGGAAAGTGAAATAAAAAACGCAAACAAGAAAAAATGCTTATCGCTACATTCCCCTGTATAGATGGTTTTAAAAATTGGCATATGGATTTATTTTGAAGAAGAAAATTTAGTCGAAGACAGAAAAAAGTTCATTATATCCAACTTCCTCACTTTTTTGGTTCACTATATCCGCAAAAAATAACATTATACTCGTATAGCAAGGCACGGGACCGAACATTTTGTTCACTATATTCGGGAGTTCACTATAAGCCGTTTTTCACTATAGCGGGGTTAGGCTGTATAATGTAGGTATATATAATGTATAGGTATATGTAATGTATTACTTGTTATTATAATGTATAGGCATGAGCTTATAAAATAAAGCCCTCGAGAGAGAAAAATTCCACAATAAATAATCAATGCTTAAAGCAAACACAAAAAAAGAGATGGATAGATAGATAGATAGATGGATAGATAGATAGATAAATAGAGAGAGTACTTAATATTTCGAACGCAATGCAATTTTTGAAAACAAATTTACTAACAAATAAAAACTCAATTCTGTAGTTGCATTTCAGTTTTCACAACACACCTTCTCACTATTAAGTTTCTGAGTCATGTACAAATTGTACTTTAAAGTGGTGTTCTTTACAATTTAATATAAAGCGATATCTTTTCCCTTTCACCATATATCTTAAAATAGAAATTAGTTTAACGTATCAGTTTAAACATAAGATTTTATGAGGTAGAGAAATTGAAACACTAAATTGTGCTTTTTGAAATCAAACTGAAATTATGAAGTGAATAGGTAAAATCAGATACTTTAAAAACAATAGAATGAAAAAAAAAAGTTATTCATTTCGCAGATAGTATAAGGGTGACTGTTTTGCAGAGTGGTGACAGTTGAAATAGAGGGGCCGAAACTTTCTCTCCTACTAGAGGTGAGGCTGTTCAAATCTCATCGCAATGACATCCACCAATTATGCTGACGGAAGTAATCCCCAGTGGTCAATTTATTATGGGCTTGAGTCTGTTTGTCATCGAGTTAACCACTGATCGTTTGTCTTCTCCATGTAACAAAAATGCGGGTTAGTTTCACTCAAAAATCTTCGAAGAAGGCGAGTTCGTAAAAACTAGATTTAGTTCTTTCTTCTTCAAGGAAAGCCTTCGAAATATTAATGGTAGCCACACATTTGATCATGTCTTCAACAATAAAAAAAATGTTTAAGGAAAATTTTGTTGAAAATTCTAAACACCTCTTTTGCATCGATTTTTGATTCTCCCAGATGATACCAGATTTTTTACCCTCGGCTTTTATACAGGAGAAATTTCCCTAAACATAGTAGAATTTTCCCTTATAAAACAAATTTTGATTCACAATTTACAGCAAAAAATATTTTTAAAGTGTACATTTCTGAACGCTAATAAATTTGACCTATTTTATCAAAAAAAGAAGGTTTTAAATAGGAGGCAAATGTTGCGAATTCTATTTTGTGAAATGAATGCAGATAATCGTAAATTTAATTGTAGGATCAATTAATGAAAGTAAAAGTTCCCGCAGCCGCTCAAATAAATGGAGAGATGAAGTTGACCAGAAAGGTCAGTGCGTCGGCACTTGCTGCACCCAACGCCTCTGCAAAGCGGTCAGTCTCCACCCTTTGACCTACACTTTGTCCTCAAAGGCTATCGGATTCGATAGCCTTGAATAGATTTCTATTACAGACATTTCTATACTGTGAGACCTCCTTCTTAACACTGGTTTTGAACCCATTTCCACCAAAATTGGTGTTGATTGTGTTTAGTTTGGTGAATTCTATGCCTCCTGGGCTTTTCTCAATATTAATTACTATATTCTGTTTGTTTATCTGTAATTACAAATCTATATTGCGTTTAAGGATTTTTATATTTCAAAAAATAATTCCTTCGAAGGATTTTATCTAAAAATTCTATATAGATCATTCGTTACGCTTTTATTATCAATNTATATTTATGTATATATATGTAGAGAGAGAGAGAGAGAGAGAGAGAGAGAGAGAAAGTTTTATTTAAACAGTCATAACTCAAAGAAAAAAAAAAGAAAAAAAAAGGAATTGTACACTATTAAATTTTTGATTCTAAAATTACGGCAAAATTATCGGTAGCAGTCTGTCCAGCCAATTAACTAAAAAGTTTACAGTAAAGAACATTATTTTTTACTTTTACGTCTTTGAAATCGTTTACAGCTAGTATGGTTAAAAACCATGAATACAAAGCAATATGGTTTTTTATTTCATTTACAACTATCATGGGGAAATTTAATTGGACATAGGAGTTGGTTTATGCAATGCAATGGACATTGGTGTTAGGTTGAGTTGTGTTTTGTCAAATGAGCCATGGAATGTGGCTTATATTTTTTATCTGTTGGTGCCATCAATCGTGAGCACTGGGAAAGTCCAGAGTTGTTTTCTTGTTAAGCAGCTTTGTGTTGTCGCTATTTATGCGCGAATGAGAGTATCGTATTCTAATAGTTCTGGGTCACAAATTGGAGAGTGAAGGACACTGGAAATTCTTCATGTGTTGAAGGGAGTGAATTAAATATTGTGATGCTGACGCTCCGTTCTTCCGATCATGAAATTGACAGATTAGCCCTCTAGCCTGTAATATGTAGTCAGGTGCAAGGAACTAAGTGATTTCATAAGGTAAAATTCTGGTTATTTATCGGTATCAGGTGAAAGCAGTTAATAAACGGTTTTTCTTAGAGTTAAGGGTTTGAACACCGTCTTATTTATGGTTATTTGACAGCTTTATTTGAATTTGGTGAAATAATAATTAAATAAATTATTATTTAACCATTCTTTATCGAAATATTTCTAAAAATGTTGATTTGAAATTCTGACTGAAAAGCTACAGAACATGGATTTATTAAAACTGAGTTTTAAAAATCAGGTTGAAAACCATTTTTCTATGCTCGATTGGCACTTTCATGTGGTTCCCGTGTATACATATTCTATATGAACTATGCAAAAATGTTTTGATTTTTTTCACCATTAGTGGAATATTGAACTAAAGTTTAAAGAAATTTTCAAATATCGGAAATTAGAAATTTTCCCTTTTTTAAAATCCTCAGCAAGTAAGTTTATTTTTTTTTCCAGATAATATTTCAAACTTTCATATATGATGATTTTGGATCTATAAAGTAATTTTTATGCACTAGACCTTCCTACCAATAGATTCTTTTTTGTGTATGAGAGCATCTTACCTATTTAGCACAAAAGATTCAAACGTATGTATATATTAGAAATTTTGTTTTAAGTTTAAGTGTTGTTGACTTTTGCAGAAGAGCTTCAGATCAATAGATTAATTTTTATGCATTTATAAAGCTATAAATAAGATCTTTTGGTAAAAAGGTTCGTGCACGAAGCTTTCTAAATTATAGATTTATATCAATCTATAAGATTGTTAGACCTATAGATACATCAATATACATGAAAATTTGAAATCTTTTCTGTAAAAACTAGATTTTGACCAGTAGATTCACATTTTCTCTTGATATTTTTCGTTCTATAAATTCCTTTCTATGTATAAGGGCTTCTGACTCATTTGAACGCATTTATTCCTGACTATGAGATCGGTTCATTCATAAGCATTAAAAATTAAGAAACTTGGGATTCATTTACAGCCGACCAGTGTAGGGGTCAGGGAACTGGGCTTGCATCAGAAAGGTTCCGTGTTCGAATCCCGAGCAAGTCATGAATGATTTCTTCTCTATACTATCTGTCTTTACTGTGGCAGCAACGTTGGCTCACCATTAGGATGCCCCTGAAAGAGTGGTCAACAAATCTGCCCTTCACATGCCTGTATGACGAAAGGTCATTCTCGAGGTGGGCATTGAAAAAAAAAAAGGATTCATTTATATGAGCGAGCCTTTTAAACTCATAGATTTATCTCTAAGCATACAAATTCAGTATTGTGCATAAACATTATAGTTGTATGAACCTTTCGAATTCACAAAGATCAAATTGTAGATAATGTGGCGTTGTAATATGCGTAACAATTTCAAACATTTAGGTTTCATTTCTATAAGGAGACTTCCTTTCTTATTATTGTCGCAGTTTTTCATCGTTGTCAGTGCATTTTTATTGGCCGGAAAATCAGGTGATAGGATCAGTTTTTCTTCATTCATTTCCAGATTGTTTTGGTTGTCATCAGCATAAAATTAATAAAAATTATGAAGGCATTGCTTTTCTATCCCTAATTTAAAGTTATTTTCCTCTACTACTGTTATTACGCTTTTAACTCACGAGTTTAAAACTAAGAGAATTACTTTTTAAATTTTTTGATTATTATTATAGTGCAATTCTGCGCTACATTTTAAGATACAGTTATAAAGAAAGTTGGTCCAATATCGTTAACCGTTTTATAATTATTATTTTTGAGCAAATAACATTAATATACTGTTATAAATTGCAGTTAAAGAGATCTGTTAAATGATTTAGAACTTAGCGATCAGCTTCATGCACAATGAGATGCAAGCGAAAATAGTATTTAATATATCCGCCCGTTTGGTAAGTGAAAATATTAAATGACTCATGCGAACTCATCAAATTTGTTTGAACAATATAATGCCATAACAATATAAATGTTATTTCTAAAAATGATTACGTCGAAAAAATACTTCTGTTCACCTAAATATTTATAATAATAATAATCTGATGGAAAACAATACGTGGGAAGTGGAGGTACAAGGGTAAGAAAACCTGAATTCCTTTTAATGCATAAATGTTAAGTGACTAATATTAGCTTTAGTGGAAAAACTGTTTTCTGCCAAAGAGACGATAATTATTACGAAACAATCATCGGGGTTGGTGAGGGGCAGCGAACCTAGTAGCTTAGTAGTGTGCATAAATGAGCTTGAGATTTAAAGATTCACTTTAATTCCTTCAGTTCAGAAATTAGATTTCTTTATACGAATGTTTCTGATCAATAGTTTCATTTCCTACAGTTTAGCTTCAAATATATGTTGCATCACATGAAAAAAAAATATTTTAGCATGAACATAAATTATAATAAATTTACTTACAGCTGTGAAATTCCTACGGAGTTTGAAAGCTGTTATAGCACCCGCCATAGCTGCAAAAAAATAAATAATAGTTAATTACACAAAACTTCAAAACGTAACAAATATTAAGAGCGTAACAAATGTTTTCCACGATTCAAATCCCAGTATTCTGCTTTGATGGCGATATAATCATTTCAATTTTTCAGGCATAGATCTGAAATTAATTTCAAATATTCATTTTTAAGAGTTTTTAAAATAAATTTTGCGTCATTTGCTTAAATTCCACAAAAAATGAAATTCATGATGAATTTGAATGGAATGAAATTCATTATGATGTATTTAAAATGAAATGAAATGGAATATTTTGGAAAAACAATTTTCAAAGTACGAGGGTTGTTTAAGTAAGGGCCTTTTGAGAATAAAAATGAAACGAAATAAAATTTTCAAAACCCAAATTTATTTTTAAATTTTAATTTCGTTTTTTTAAGCATAGTTGCCAAGCTTGCTTAAACATTTATCATACCTTGCAACTAGATTTCGAATACCCTCTTCATACAAATTTACCACCTGCTCTGCTAACCAAGAGGTTTCGGCCGTTTTCACGTATTCGTGCTCGTTGTAGTGATTGCCGTCAAAATTACGTTTGAAATATCGGAAAATATGAAAATGACTTAGCGCTAGGTCTGGGCTTTAGGAAGGGATGGTCCAAAACTTCCCAGCCAAAAGAGTTCAATAAAGCTGGGATCCGAGCTGCAGAGAGAATCATTGTCATAGAGTTGCAAAATTCCCTACCAGCAGGGCGAACAATTTCGCTACTTCCCAAATCGTAACTTCAGAAATCTACCCATATATGAATGCAGCAGACAGGTTTTTTCGCGGACTGAAAACGCATCACTGACCATATCTCGTGTATGGCAAGTGATTTGTTAAATTTGAACATTTTAAAGGCACAGAACTGACCGTACAGTTTACCTACTCAACTGCAACTGAGAGCAGTTGTTCCTATAGAATGCCGATCGAGACACGAAACAAGTGCTCGTTGCGATGCACGCGTCACCTATTAGGGTACACAACAGAACGGTATGCTTCTCCAATATTATATTTCAAATACATTTCAAATACATCCTATAGAAGTTAGAAAAAAGAAATAAGAAAAATAGAATGTTTTTGGAATTAAAAATTGTTTCTGTACCGCGTGGGGATTGTTGAAACTTTTGTAACATTTTGAAAATGTATATATGAGACATGGATTTTTGAGTAGAAGAAAATTTCTTTCTTATTGGAAACAAATATTTAAGGCTTATAGAAGGAAAATAAGTATAATAAAAACACACATAAGACATTTCAAATCAATTTGGAGTGCAAATTGAAATTAATTTGAGAAAACAAACAGGACATTTGAGTATAATTTGGGACACACATGGGAGCTTTTCTGCTGTAAGAAATGTTAGAATAGATTTATGTAATGTTTATAAATACTTGAATTCAGTGTGACAATGTATGTAAGAAGACTTGTATATATTCGAAGTGAGAATGCATCACTTGATTATGTGTGCATGTTTAGAGCGGGCACAAAAGATACCTTTAATAATGTGCGTGAAATGTTAAAATATGTAATTACATTGTAAAAAGTAACAGTATTTTTTCTGATCCTTTCAGTATATTTTTCGTTTTAATGCTGTTTTGCTGATTAAACGGTTCTTCACCTTAATCACCAAACGCATAAAAACCATTCAATTCAAATTATACTTTTTGACATACATATTTTCTTACTGTCCGAAAACTTCTACTTTTCTCAAATCATTCTTCTCTTACTTATCAGCAAATATTTTATGGTTTTTAACATCCTATAAATGAAACTGCGATTCGACTCTATTGTCAAATGGATACTCTACCTGATTATTAAATTTTTATAGATACTTTTCGTAAGTTAAGGTGCTAGTCATTTTTATAAAGGGGCACATCTATAGTCTTAAACGTTTTTACACTTAAATATGATTTTAATAAGTAAGATTTTTGAGGTGAAGACATTTTTTCTTCATAAAACACTAGTGAGAATTAATTGGAGAGTGGATTACTTTACAGCAAGTATGGATTTAAATTGGAATTAATCTGAGAGGTAAAAAGGTAATTTAAAATCACTCATTAGACAAATTCGAGTTTAGAATACACCATTAAATTTTCGAAACATTTTAAAAACATCTATAAGATTTTCGTTTAAAAAAGTATTCTTTACCCATTACGAAAAAGATAAAAATCTTTTTTTTATGTTTCACGTAAATAATAATTTGCAAAAAAAAGAAAGAAAAAAAGAAAAAAGTTGACAGAGCTAAGGAAAAACACTTGATTAATTTGTTGTCCAAAAGTATTGCAAAAGAGTTGCAACAAAAATACAAATGACGAGAGAAGTCAAATCAAAATCTGATAAACGTTAGAAAATACGTGTTAAAATAATACAATTACTTTTGTAGATACGCAAAAACCAAATAAGTTTTCTATATTTAGGCACATTTTTACATGCATCAAATCACACAAGCATCCACAAAGATCCGTAAGCCATATTTCGGGAGGTCAAAAAGTTAATTACCTAGAAATGTGTACCAAACCTTCGAATTCAGCAACAGAAGATACGCACGATTAAAAAAAAGAGCGAAGCATTACCAAAAAAATTAGAGGAAGAGAAGAATTAATATTCGAGTCAATTTTTTTTCTTCTTGAAAAAGTGGGTAAAACTTCCAATTTCACGCTCAATTGTCGGAAAAGGTTGATGACTGAAGAGCTTCAATGCTATATATGGGTTACTTAAAAAAAAAGGCTCATATATGCGTTTAATACATAATATTCTGATTTTAACCTGAATTTGAAATGACAGTTTGGATAAATAATACATTCTAAAGAATGATGTCACATGATGTTTAAAATACAGTAATCTTCACGTTACTGTAAAAAATGTTCAAAAAATTTGAGAATGAATTTAACACAAATTACAAAATTATTGAAATTATATTAATTTCACTGCAGAATATTATTTTGTATTGATAATGTGTAATCTAAAATATAATGATTGCTGTTGGTCTGCCGATATGTTGATTTTAATTGATGCAAAGTAAAAAGAAACATGCTGATTACAATCGGAATGAAAATTAAAGATGACTAGGACTATAATCAACGTTAATTATAATTATAATGAAGATTAATAACTACTTTAATCAAGCTTAATCTATAAATATAAAAATGAATGTCGCATCTGTTTGTTTGTGTATCCTTTATAGACTCCTAAACCATCCGACAGAGAGAGATGAAATTTGCCAAACTGATATTTCGAAATAAGAGTAAGGTCGTTGTCAACATTAGAACATTCTATGACGAACTTTTGATGAGCGAAAAACAAAATGGAATTTTCTGATTAGATAAGCGTTATTTTAAATTTAACTATAAATGATTATATATTTCCAAATATTTTAAAGATAACATTAGTGATATTTGCTAGCTTATAGATTCATTTGATCAAAAAAGACCACGTATCTTAGTATTTCCGATGTGTATGATAAATTCAATGAATTAACGTGGTAGCATGAGTGTCACCAAATTAATATTTCTAAAGTTATCTGATACCACGTGCTTGTTTTGCTTATAGTAATTCTTTTAAAACTTGTTTATATAAAAGTAAATATTTTAAAAGCAACAATAAATGAAATAAAGGAAATTAGTTACGTATTGAAAGGCAAAATGAACGGAAAAGTGGTAGTAATTCGCTTAGGAGAAACATAAAAAATTGCTATACTATTATTGACGACCCACGATGCTAATTAATTTAGTTAATAAATGTTTATTGATATAAAAGAAATAAGCTATGTTCTAATATATAAGCTATTGATATAAAAGAAATAAGCTATGCTCTAATATATAAGCTATTGATATAAAAGAAATAAGCTATGCAAAAATAAGAACAAAAGTACTCATTTGTCTAGTGGATCCAAAAAAATATGCATATTATACTATACTATTATTGGCGCTAATGACGCTGCATTAATGTTTGTAATATGAATTAATTGAAATAAAAAAAATAAGCTATGCACTAAAAAGAAAAGTTAATGGTGGAAAGGATAATGGGGAATTTGTTATGGGGAACCGTAGAAAATAAGTGTCTTCGTATAAGTACTTTGTATAATTTTGACAATTATAATAAGGCTGCTAGCAATAGCATCATTCTAAGTGATGCTAAATGCCGCTAAATTCTATTGCGATGGGGTGAGCTAAAAAAACAAACAAACGTGTTTTGCTTAATTTAATGACGTAAAGCCATCAGGAGGGGCAACAAATAATAATAAATAATAAAATAAAATAATTGAAATTATTTAAGCTTTATTAATTGAAGAGCCTAGTGGAACAAAATGGTGAGGGATATTTTCAGGGAACCTATAATGAAACTGAGAAGTGGTATCCAAAATATTTTATTATCGATTTACTAGAAGATGGGACTAATAATTTCTTTCCTTATTCAATTTACCACTGTCTGATTTGAAATGAAAATCAGGAAAATATACTCAAAACTAATGCGTTATGTTAAGATTAAAGCGAAACAATTCTGTTACATTTAAATATACCCATGTTGATGCAACCGGATTCATAAAAATTTTCCCTTTCATTTGTGTTCATGATTTCTTCTGATTTATTAGTTAATCTCTCCTTACGAAGAACGGGTTTTTGGATAGTTATAATTGTAATCAGTATGGACAATAAATATATTAATGTTGATTACAATTAAGATTAGCGTTAATTATTATTGCAATTCTAACCAACACCAGTTTAATTGCAATTATTATAGTTTATAACTATAATTTAAAATTAGTTTTGTATCTTTATATAATTAATACAAATTATAATCATAATCAACACATAAGATCAAAGTGTCATAATTTTTCGTTAGCTTACAAATTATCTGTACAAAAGTTGTACATTACAATAACTAACTTTTTTTTCGTGGCACTGCATTTAAAACCTAATGGATATTTTGCGTTTTTGAGAAGAAATTAATATGCATCAGTTATTTAGAAATTTGTGCAAAATT